GGCCTCACTGCGCAGGCGCAGGCCGGGAGCGACGCTCAGCCTCCAATCACCGGACATCCACCATCCACCAGGCACCCGCCCGCTTCCCCATGAATGAACATTGACGTCAATGGGGCGGGGCGAGCCCACGTGACCCCGCGCGCTCCCCTTTATAAGGCGGCGGCGCGGGCGCTGTCCAGCGTGCTGAAGCCGGAGCGAGAGCGCAGCAGCTGACCCAGCGGAGCCCAGCTCCCAGGACGCCAGCCCTCGACCATCGCTCACACTCCAGCCACGGAACGGAGCCAAGGCGGACGGGGCCCGATCTTCCCCCTGTCCCGACCCTCCTCTCCACCTTCCGCCGTCGTGACACCGGCTGGTAAATACTCCCATGTCCATTCCTCCAGCCCTCTTCAGTCGTGGGCGTGAAGGGAGGGTTTTCTCTCCGAGTGGGGTGTTGAGAGCACAGCGGGGTGCCCCCGAGAAGGGTCTTTGGTAAGTGGGGGAGTCTCTGCTCTTCTGTCGCTGATGAAGTCGCCCACGCACCATCCGGGGAGTCCTGTGGGGAGGGAACAGATCCCCCCCCCACCTCCCGCTTATCCTTGTACGCGGGCGCTGGCTGAGAGATGACTTGGGGAAGGGGGCGACAGGAGGCACTGGGTAGCCAGGGCGAGAACTGCGGGCGTTATTTCCCATTTGCACGGCTCCAGAGATCGCCACGTCTTTCTTGTTCTCTGCTAAACGTTTCCTCTTCGGGTAAGGTTGGAGAAATGAGGGAAACCCCGGATTTCCTGCTTAAAGGTGGGGGAAGGGAATGCAGAAATAGAAAGCGGGGAATTCTTACAGAAATCCTCTATCTCTTTGGCTTCTTCTATTTTTCAGTCTCTGGCAGCCCGTTGGTCATGAAAACCCTCACGTTGCCGGCATCCGTCCTCTTCTGCTTCCTTCTACTGATCCAGGGGTTGGGAGCAGCGCCCCCCGGGCGCTCCGATGCTTACCCTCCTCCCCTCGGCTCTGAGCATAAAGAGCAGGTAGCCGAGGACGTAGTGTCCCGGCCAAAGGATGGCAGCGCCCCAGAGGTCCGAGCCGCTCGGAATTCCGAGCCTCAGGACCAGGGAGAGCTCTTCCAGGGCGTGGATCCCCGGGCGCTGGCCGCGGTACTGCTGCAGGCACTGGACCGTCCGGCCTCGCCCCCGGCGGTCCCAGGAGGTTCCCAGCAGGGAGCACCCGAAGAAGCAGCAGAAGCTCTGTTAACCGAGTCCGTGCGCAGTCAGACCCATAGCCTCCCGGCACCAGAGATCCAAGCGCCCGCTGCGGCCCCCCCTCGCCCTCAGACTCAGGACAACGATCCCGAGGCAGACGACCGCTCAGAGGAGCTGGAGGCGCTAGCGTCCTTGCTCCAAGAACTTCGAGATTTCAGTCCGAGCAACGCTAAGCGCCAGCAAGAGACGGCCGCAGCCGAGACGGAAACCCGCACGCACACGCTGACCCGAGTCAATCTGGAGAGCCCCGGGCCAGAGCGCGTATGGCGCGCTTCCTGGGGAGAGTTCCAGGCGCGCGTCCCGGAGCGCGCTCCTCTGCCACCCCCCGTCCCTTCGCAATTCCAGGTTCGAATGCCCGAAAGCGCTCCCCTTCCCGAAACCCATCAGTTCGGGGAAGGAGTGACCTCCCCTAAAACACATCTAGGTGAGACTTTGACACCCTTATCCAAGGCGTACCAAAGCCTAGGTGGCCCCTTCCCCAAGGTGCGCCGCCTCGAGGGCTCACTCCTGGGCGGCTCTGAGGCTGGAGAGCGCCTGCTTCAACAGGGGCTGGCTCAGGTAGAGGCAGGGAGGAGACAGGCGGAGGCCACCCGGCAGGCCGCGGCGCAAGAAGAGCGGCTGGCCGACCTCGCCTCCGACCTGCTGCTCCAGTATCTGCTGCAGGGCGGAGCCCGGCAGCGCGATCTCGGGGGTCGCGGGCTGCAGGAGACGCAGCAAGAGCGGGAGAGCGAGAGGGAGGAGGAGGCGGAGCAGGAGAGACGCGGTGGTGGGGAGGACGAGATGGGGGAAGAGGATGAGGAGGCGGCGGAGGCGGAGGCGGAGGCAGAGGAGGCGGAGAGGGCGCGGCAGAACGCGCTCCTGTTCGCCGAGGAGGAGGAGGACGGGGAAGCCGGAGCCGAGGACAAGCGCTCCCAGGAGGAGGCGCCAGGCCATCGGCGGAAGGATGCCGTGGGGGCAGAGGAGGGCGGGGAAGAGGACGACGACGACGAGGAGATGGATCCGCAGACCATCGATAGCCTCATTGAACTGTCCACCAAACTCCACCTGCCAGCCGACGACGTGGTCAGCATCATCGAAGAGGTGGAGGAGAAACGGAAGCGGAAGAAGAACGCCCCTCCCGAGCCGGTGCCGCCCCCCCGGGCCGCCCCAGCCCCCACTCACGTCCGCTCCCCGCAGCCCCCACCTCCCGCCCCGGCCCGGGATGAGTTGCCGGACTGGAACGAAGTGCTCCCACCCTGGGATCGGGAGGAGGATGAGGTGTTTCCCCCGGGGCCCTACCACCCCTTCCCCAACTACATTCGGCCGCGGACACTGCAGCCACCCGCATCCTCCCGCCGCCGTCACTTCCACCACGCGCTGCCACCTGCGCGCCACCACCCCGACCTGGAGGCCCAGGCCAGGCGCGCGCAGGAGGAGGCGGACGCGGAGGAGCGGCGGCTGCAGGAGCAGGAGGAGCTGGAGAATTACATTGAGCACGTGCTGCTGCGCCGCCCGTGACCCGCCCCGGCCCCGCCCCCGCGCGCCCGCCCCAGGCTGGGCGCGCCACCACGCCCCCCCTCCGTGTCGCTCCTCCTCCCTCTCGGTGTTTGCATGCGCCCCGGCTCCGCCCCTCGGCTGCCGCCCGGCCCCGCCCCACGTGACCCCGCCCCGAGCTCTGCCGGGACCGGACCTGTCAGACTTTCCCCGGGTCTGCAGTCCAGAACTCCCCAAACTCAACGGGCGATCCCGGGGCCATCCCAGGCGGGTGGGTGTTTTGTGCGAGTCCCCTTACACCCCCACTTCCTCCAGGGGCCTCGTCCCCATCTAGTATCTCTTGAGACTTCCCGGTCCCCAACGGGAAAATCTGTTCTAATTAATCGTGTGAAGTGTCTGTCTCCCAGCCGTGGGGCCCCCGGAGCCTCCCCCTTCTCCAAATCGCTGTGAACTCACCCACTTCCTGCCCTTCTCTGTTGTAAATACCCCTCACGGAGGAAATAGTTTTGCTAAGAAATAAAAGTGACTATTTTATTAGGACTTTGTTCTCCGTTATTCACCCGACCCCTTGGGCCTGCTTGGTCCTCTCCAAGGGGCGGTGAGGGGAGCGCCAGTCTGATCCGGTTCTGGACTCTCTGACCAAAGCCAGAACTAGGTGGGAGAAAGGTGTGAAGCTGTACCTGGGAAGGGAATGATCTAGAAATACCTATGAGGGAACCCTACTCTGGGGTCGGTGAGATGGTTCAGCGGGTGAAGGCACAGGTTGCCAAGCGTGACCGGAGTGTAACCCTAGGGTTCTTTCCACATGATGGAAGGAGAGGGCTGACAACCACATGCCCACCATGGTACACCCACCCACCCACAAAATAAATGAATGTAATAAAAAAACCAAAACAACAAAATAGAACCTCTGCTTTCCACTACCACCCTGGGCCGGAAGTTGAGTCATAATTGCTAGTGTTTGACCCACGGAAGAGTGGAATCCAATGAGAGCCAGGTGTTTGGTTGGGGCTATGGCTCAGTTAGTATGAATGTCTGCCTAGTATGCACTGGGCCCCTAGGTCTAGTCCCATAAAGTGAGTTCAGGGTCAGGAAAAAAAAAAAAAAAAGACCAAACAAAAAAGAAACAAGAAGAGAAACGATTGTCTGGGTTGTCTGGGATGAGCAAGTTTCTAGAACGCAAAAGAAAAAAAAGGTACCATGTAGGAGATGCTCCTCTTTGGGTATCTGGATGGCTTCCCCCACCCCAAGTCATCCATCCTTCCCTTCATAGCTCCCTGAATTCCTAGAAGCTTGGGGAGAAGGAGCTGACACCCCACACACCTTGTTTTTAACCATTTCTCAGTTGCCTCCCCAAACAAAAAGAGGCAAACAGAAATCCTTCCCACAGACATCTCAGAATAGAGAACCTACGACCTCAGGGCCTGCCCTCCTTGGCTGTGTGTCCTCACAGCAGTGTGTGAGATTCTTTGGGGCAGCGCTGCCAGACAGAGCAAAAGACAATCATTTAACCTTCAATTCCAGATAAGCAAGATACCCCCACCCTCAGAATAACTCTTCACGGTGCATAGGACACACGTACTAACTTATCTGTTGGGGCTGTGGCTGGGGCTGAGTGATAGAGCACTGACCTCGAATGCAAGAGGCCCCAGGTTCTGATCCCTAGTACTGCAACATACAGTATCAACATGTGGGTCAGCTGGTCCAGTGCTTGCCCAGCATGTATGAAGCATTTCATAGAACAGGGTGCTGCTGAACACCTGTAACCTCAGCATCTCTAGAGGCAGAGGCAGGAAGCTCAGAAATACCAAGCTGATTCTGCCATCCATATGGAGTCTGAGGCCGGCCTAGATTATGTGAGACCCTGATTCAAAATTTAAAGAAATGTCAAATGCATCTGTTGGGTTGGGGTGTGGTTGGCACATGCTTGTAATCCCAGCATCCAGAAGGTACAGGTAGCAGAATCATCCCTGAGATACAGGTCACTCAGAGCTATGCAGCAAAACCCTGTCTCAAAATACAAGACGACAGAGCGGAGGGCTAAGAGCTCGGTAGAGAGCGGAGGGTCTGCCTGGCGAGCACAAGGCCGTGGGTTTGACTATCCTAGGACACAGAACAAAACAACACAACCAAACCTGTTGTCTAGCTGCCATCCAACTGGGCATCTTCTATTTTTAGCTTTTCTTCCTAACTATGACGACCCAGGTCCCAGGAAGACACTGGCAGGAAGCTGCCCTTGACCTCGGGGTGGACACCAGTCGGCTTCAACAAAGACAGAGGCAAGCCAAGTCCAGAAACACTTTTTCCTTTTATTTCAGAAGAAAGGAAATAAAGGCAGCCGCTTGGCCCACCCCACCTGCTTGGCTCCCACCACATCCACAATGTGGTGTGGGGGCGGGGGGACAGGGCCAGTGTCCCAGAAAGCAGGCCCCTCCCCGAACCATGCCTTCCCTCCGGGTGGCAAGGTTAGAAAAACATTAACTCGGTGGTTCCTTCCCTGGCTCTGGCTGGACACTGGAGCCCAGGAGGAAGTGGGGGCAGGAGAGGGAAAACCCCTCCCAGGCAGAGAAGCTGCCCTGGCTGGCTATGGGGAGGGGTGGAGGTAGGTTTTGGGGCAGAGGGGAGAAAAGAGCCCTGGAAACCTCTTCCCTTTAACCTGACGTATTTATATATTTACAGCGATATAGGACATGGGGAGGGCTGGAGGATGGCTGGGGTTAACACTGATTCTTCCAAAGAGGGGAATGAAGCCACTTAGCACCCCCATCCAGGTCACATTTTCCTGCCTTCTAGCTCCTAAAGCCTCCGCTGGGAAAGGTAGAGGGTGGAGGGAGGGAATGTTTGAATGAAGGGCTGGAGCTGCAGCTCCTTCCAAAGAAGGTGAGGTGGTGGCGGAGGAGAGGCAGCCGGCTCCCGCCCAGAGAAGGGGCCTGGGGGAGAGGTGGGAGAAACAGCCCCCAAGTGCTGTCTCTTGTCTCGGCTTCCCCAATTCCACAGGGACCCCAGGCTGGCTGACGGGGCTATGCCAGGCCCATCTCCTCCAGGACACTGCGCGGTGACTCATCCTCCTGAGACGGACGAGGGTGACGCAGAGACACCAGGAAGGGCAGACGGGGTGGGCGAGATGAGGGGATCAGAGGCACAGACACACGTGGGGGTGGGGGGGGAGAAGAGAAGCCGATGTGAGCCCAAGGCTGGCACGCTGTGAGCCCCCAGTGGAGGGGGGCTCACAGACCTCATGACACCACTGCCAGCACCCACAGTGGCAAGGAGAGGTGGAGGCCAGGTTCATCACCACCCAGGATCTACAGCTCTGAGCTGGGGGAGCAGGTATGCAGCTTCAGAACCCAATGGGCAAGAAGCATGAGGCCGGGGCAGGATGCAGAGGAACCCTGACTCCCAGGAGGCAGGCAGTGCGGACGCTTGGTCCGTGCCTTTCAGGGTGGCGAGGGCAGTCAGACATTGGTACCAGGCTCCTCGGGGAAGGGAAGGTGGGCTTCAGAGTGATGAGTCCCTAGGGTCCAGGAACCGGAGGACACACGTGTGTGTGTCAGGGAGTGAAGGGATCCTGGACCAGTGGGGTGACCTCAAGTTTCATCGCGCCATCTTTCCCCCTCGAGAGCTGACCAGCTCCTTCATTGCCCCCATCTCTCCCTCTCCTCAGAGCCAGCTCAAGCAGGTTTGCTTGTCACTGCGGAGTCCTGGTGACTCATCTTCCTGCACCAGGGCTCAGCAGTAGCACAGCAGAGAAGGGGCAAGCAGCCATGGGCAGAGGGGGGTGTGCCAGACAGACACCAGGGGGAACTAACAGGCACCCTCCAGGCCGGCCCCAAGCCCCCACAGCCGTGGGTTCCCGAGCAGCAGAGGGGTGTGTGTGTGCGTGTACACATGTTAAAAGTGAGGACTAGGCAGGGCGGGGGAGGCTGTTCAGTCATTAATGTCTCTGTCATGTAAGCATGAGGACCTGAGTTCAGATCCCCAGCAACCACACAAGAGCCTGGTATGGAGGTGTGGGTCTGTGATCCAAATATTTGTGGGGATGGAGTTGAGAAAGGGAAGATCCCTGGAGCTCAGTGGCCAACCAGCTGAACTGAATGGATGAACTCCAGGTTCAGTGTGAGACTGTCTGAAAAAATAAAGGAATGATTGAGGAAAATACCCAATGTCACCCTGGGGCCTCTGCATACACATGTGCACACACACACACACACGCCTCGGTGACACATGGGAACAGAGACAGGCAAAGTAAGGATCAGGGCCCTAGGCTCCATCAGAGAGAGACAGAGACACAGAGAGAGACAGACAGACAGAGACAGATAGGAAATCGAGGAAGAAAAGGCTTATCTACCACGAACCGCTCTCCCAATTCTCTAAACAATCCTTATCATCAAGAGAATCGTGAAGCCAAAGGAGACTGGGCCAGATAAGACAGATATCTTGGGCCTTGGGAAGAGGACAGAGCTCAGATGAAAGAGGGAGCCATTGGCACCAGTGGGGGATGGGCCCACCCACCTCCTGCTCCAGGGGTTCAGGACTCAGGACAAGTTAGACAGCAGGGCGTGACGGGGGCCAGACGCCACAGGGAGGGGGGCCCACGCGTCGACGGGCAGGGTGTCCGGGGGAGGGGGAACCCCCTCGGCCACAGTCCTCCTCCTCCTCCTCCTCACTGTCCCTGGCTCGTACCTCCTGCAGCAGGTCTGCCTGCTCAATGGCCTTAAGCACACTCTTCTTGGAGGTGTCCTGGACGTCCCCACCCATCAAAAACTCATCCAGGATAAAGTAGGCTTTCTCAAAGTTGAAGATGATGTCCAGCTCGCAGACCTGGGAGACGGGGGAGAAGGGAGAGCTGAGCATCAAGGGGTACCCCTGCTTTCTTCCCTCTCCTTTCGGCCCCGAGACAGTCTCATGCGGTCCAGCTGAAGTCCCTGAACTCACTACGTAGCTGAGGCTATCCCAGACCAGTTCTCCCGCCTCCACCTCCTAAACGCTGGGGTTGTAAGCACGTGCCTCCACGCCACAGCATGTGGGGCAGGGAAGGTCCTCAGGCAAACACTCTACCAGCTGAGCTACATCCCCAGCCCACAGGAGTTCCTTCAGTGAATCTTAGATCCTCCCAGTCCTCGACTCTCAGTACGTTGGTCTTTTCCTCCAGGCTAACCTTGAGGTCTTAATCTTCCTGCCTCAGCCTGAGTGCTGGGATTACTGGCACAGGCTTCCATGCCGCCTCATTCTTTCATAGCCTGCCTCCTATTCTGGACGAGGAGACAGAAGTCTGTGGTTGCTGATGCCTTTCTCTTAAAATCTCTAACGTGGTTTCTGCCAGGCCCTGGGCTAGCCGCTACCTTAGGCATTCTGGGGCAGAAGAGAATATTATGGTCTTTGCTTTAGAAGACCCAAGGTGATCTCTGTTAATACGAAATTTGCTGTGCACATCATGGAACGTCGATGAGCCTCAGTTTCCCCGGCCAAAAATGGAGATGGTAACACTGACTCCTTGGATAGATGAAGAACAAGCCAGAGACCCTCAAAAGGCATGTGGGTGGGGTGGGTCTCTTATCTCAGCTATGCAGGAAGATGAGGTAGAAGAGGCCTCCTGAGCTACGGAGTGAGTTCAGGTCAGCTTGGGCAACTTGGTGAGACCCTGCCTCAAAATAAAAAGTAAAAAAGGGAGTGAGGATATACCTCAGTGGTAGAGCACAAAGTAACTTGATGTGTGAGGCCTAGGTACAATGTCTAGGCATCACAAAATCAATCCATCCATCCATCCATCCATCCATCCATCCATCCATCCATCCATCCAGTCTGGGAATGTAGCTCAGTTGGCTAAATAATTGCTGTGGTGGTTTGAATAAGAATGGTCCCCATAGGCTCATATATTTGAACTCTTAGTCACCAGGCAGCAGAACTGCTTGAAAGGATTAGAAGGATTAAGAGGTGTGGCCTTTTTGGAGGACATGTGTCACTGGAGATGGGCTTTGAGGTTTCAAACCCAGAGACAGTCTCTCTCTCTCTCCCTCTCCCCTTCTCCCCCCCCTCTCAGGATGTAGCTGGCTCTCTCAGCTACTGCTCCACCACCAGCCTGCATGCCACCATGCCCCCCCACGATGATAATGGACTAAACCTCTAAAACTGTAAGCCAGCCCCCAATTAAATGTTTTCTCTTATAATAGCTGCCGTGGTCATAAGGCCTTTTCACAGCAATAGAACAGTGACTAAGACACTTCTTTAAAATGGGTCGGCTCCCAAAACCATATAAACTGGGTGTGACCCCAGAACTTAGGAGGTGGAGGCAAGAGAACCAGAAGACCAAGGTCACCCTCAGCTGTACACTGAGATGGAGACCAGCTTAGGATGCATACATGCTATTCTGTCTTAAAAACAAAAAAAGGAGCCGGGCGGTGGTGGTGCATGCCTTTAATCCCAGCACTCAGGAGGCAGAGCCAGGTGGATCTCTGAGTTCAAGGCCAGCCTGGTCTTCAGAGCGAGTTCCAGGATAGCCAGGGCTACACAGAGAAGCCCTGATTGAACCTCCCACCTCCTACAAAACAACAACAAAGCGGGCTGGCCGGATGCACTAGTAAGTAAAGGCACTTGTCACATAACCCTGACAAGAGAGTTCAAGGCCCGAGGACTTGTGCAGAGGTGGAAGGAGCGAACTCCCTCGACAAAGCTGTCCTCTTGCTTCCTATGCATGCCATGGCAAGCGCACCCTCACCCCGGTAGTCACAATATTAAAATAAGGGTAACAAGGGTAAGGAGATGGCTCTTTGGGCAGGGACACTTGCTGCCAAGCTGGAGGTCGGTCGATATCCAGGACCCACAGGGCAGAAGGAGAAAACAGATCCTCAAAAGTTGTCCTTTGACCTCCACATTCCTGAGTGGGCCTGACCATCCCCAAGTAAATAAATGTAATTAAAAACAAACAAAAAAACCTTAAAACAAAAACAAACAAAGAACAGCTCTGGCCGAGCACAGAGTAATAGCAGGAGTGCAGTCCTGGGTTCAATCCCCGGTACCAACAAAAGAAATCAGCTAAAGTGGAACCCAATCGTGCTCCCCGCCCCCCAAGGCAGGGTTTCTGTGTAGCCCTGGCAATCCTGGGACTCGGTCTGTGTAGACCAGGCTGGCCTCGAACTCAGAGATGCCTCTGCCTCCCGAATGCTGGTGTCAAAGGCGTGTGCCACCACTACCCAGCCCCCCAATTGGGCTTTGTACATCATTACCAGTGTTATGTATTACGGAGGCATTCCGATTCTGTATCTAAGGTCTGCACTATCTGTCAAAACCCAGGCCACACACCACATAAATTCATTCAGAATCTCTGGGAGATTGGGCTCTGGGCATCTTTTTTTTTTTTAATATTCTAGATTTATTTGTTTTTATGTGCAGGAGTGTTTGGTCTACATGTATGTATATGTACCACCTGCTTGCCTCAGGCACGAGAAGTTGGGTCCCCAGGACCCATGTAAAAAAAGCTAAACGTAATGGTGCTTATTTGTAATCCCAGTACAGGGGAGGTGGAGACAGACAGACAGACAGGGGAGGTGGAGACAGACCGACAGACAGGGGAGGTGGAGACAGACAGACAGGGGAGGTGGAGACAGATAGACAGGGGAGGTGGAGACAGACAGACAGACAGGGGAGGTGGAAACAGACAGACAGATCCCCAAGCTGAGCTGAATCAAGGAGTTCCAGGCCAGTGAGAGACCCTGCCTCCACACACAGAAAACACCCAAACAAACAAACAAAAACCTCACAAAACGAGCCAGGCGGATCTCTGTGAGTTCGAGGCCAGCCTGGTCTCCAAAGCGAGTTCCAGGAAAGGCGCAAAGCTACACAGAGAAACCCTGTCTCGAAAAACCAAAAAAAAAAAAAAAAAAAAAAAAAAAAAAAAAAAAAAAACCCTCACAAAACAAGCAAGCAAAAACCAAATCAAGGCAGGAGCTGGAGAGATGGCTCAGTAAAGAGGACATACTGTCCGTGCAGAGGACCTGAGTCCAATTCCCTACACCCGTGTGTGTGTGTGTGTGTGTGTGTGTGTGTGTGTGTGTGTGTGTGTGTGTAAGGGGGAGGGGGCTCATGACCACCTGGGACTCCAGTCCCAGGGAATGGGATGACCTGTAGGCATCTGCACTCACATGCACATGCCTAGACAGACACACACATAGAGATAAACAAATAAAACGAGCTGGGTGGCAACAGTGCACGCCTTTAATCCAGCACATGGGAGGCAGAGGCAGGCTGATCTCTATGAGTTCGAGGCCAGAGCAAATTCTAGCTTCACAGAGAAACCCTGCCTAGAAAAACCAAAATAAAATGAATCTTTAACCCTCAAAAAAACAAAAAGAAAGAAAGAAAGAGAAAGGAAGAAAGAAAAGAAATTCCATCAAGGAGGAGGGCGCCTGAGGAACAACATGAGTTTGTCCTCCGGCCTCTCCATGCACATATGCACACACGCGCACACACACATACACACTCTACCTCTCCATGCACACATGCGCATACACACACACACACACACACACACACTACTTCTCCATGCACACGTGCACATGCACACACATGCACACATGCACACACACACACACACACACACTCTCACATTCTCTCTCTCTAGAATAGTCCAATACAATGCCAGGGTCAGGAACCCCTATAAAGTGAGAACTTGGTCTCTGCCAATGCCAGTCTGTCTCCCTCTGCTGCACCCCCTCCACCTCACGCAGAGCTCTACCTACTGAGGTATACCCCCAAGCTGATTAAAGGCCACAGCTAATAGGCTTAGAGCTTAAAAGGGGAGATTAATTACGGTCCCTGTGCCCCAACACCACCTCCCCACTGAGACTTCCAGGGCAGGGACTGCATAAGTCTTTCTTAAGGCTTGGCAGGAAGATGGAACTGCCTGGCAGGGGAACTGGGGTTCGTGGGGAGACGTACGCTGCCAAAGTACTTGTCCAGGAGCTCCACATATCGGTGGATCAGCTCCAGCGTGATCAGCTCATTGTCTTGACCTTCGATGGCGCAGCAGAAATAGAGACTGGCGTATCTGGAGAGGAAACCCGAGAGACAGACAGAGTGAGGAGCTGGTTTCAGGACCCTGGAGCTCCAGGTCCAACCTGCCCGCCAGCCTCTGACAGTACTGTCCTCCGACAGTACACAGACACGGTGGTCCCAGCGGGCACAAAGACTAACACTTTTCCTGTAGCATGCTTCAGAAACAACACAAGTTCCACTTCCTCTCCTTCTCGCCCTGTGACCCGCCCGGTTGGACTCAGCCGAAATCCGAGCGAGCCAGTTTACACGCTTGTTCAGAGTAGAAGGAACTAGAAAGGGAGGGTGTGGGAATGTGGGCGTGTGGATTGGGAAAAGTGGGGTGAGGCCTCAGTGTGGTGAATGAGACTGGGAGGGACCTGTATGCGGGCAGGGGGGTCTCCGGGGTATGTGCAAGAGGCTGTGTCAGAAAACCAAGTAGGAAGCAAGAACTGAGAAGAGCTCAGAAGCAAGGGAAGAGGGGATTCCTGACCAGCCTGTAGACGCCTCAGTTCCTCGGAGCTCTCCCGGCTTCGAAGGGAGTTAGTTATTCCCCAGCCATTTTAACCCAGTCACCTCTTATAGACAACTTTGAGGTCCCTCCACTCCAGGAAGCTGCACATCTTGGGCTTGCGAGCCAGGACGACCTGCATGAGCTCACGGACCATTTTCTTCCTCTCCTTGTCTGAGGTGGCCAGGTACCATTTCTGCAGCCGAAGTTTCCCCTGCCGGCTGAACAGTAGCATGAATCGCATCTGGAAGGGAGGAAGGACCAGAGCTGAGGGCCAGACATTCATCGCCACCTTCTTCAAAACTTCTGTCCCAGCTGTCAACGCTGGGTAGAGAAGAATGTTCTTCCTGAGGGAAAGTCAAAGATTTTCCTGCCTGCGGTTTGGGTTCGAATCCTGGCTCTACTAGCTGAGAACAACCTCAGGCAAGATAGCTGAATTGGTTCAGTTGCTTGCTACCAGGCCTGACGCCCGGAGTTCAACACCCATGACCCACATTACAGAAGAGAACCGACTCCCACGAGCTGTCCTCTAACCTCTACACTCATGCTGTGGCAAGCGCCCACCTTGCCCACACACATATGATAAAATAAACATAAAAACATTTCAGTGTGTGTGTGTGTTTCAGAAGACAGCTTTGGGAGAGGGTTCTCTCCTTCTATCATGTGAGCCCCAGGGATCAAATTCAGAGACTCAGTCTTGGCAGCGAGCGCCTTTCCGCACTAAGCCATCTTACTGTCTTTGAAACTTAGTTTCTTTACCGGCAAGACAGAAACAATAAAGTTACTTTCCTTATAGAATTCTTTTAAGATTTGTCTTTCTTCTTATTTTTTAAAGATATTTAAAAATATTTGAAATAGTCACGTGCATGCCTGTTGGATCCTCCAGGGCAAGGGTTACAGATGGTTGTGAGCCCAGGTCCTCTGCAAGAGCAACACATGCTCTTAAGCCCGGAGCCATCTCTCTAGCCCGTTTTTAATCACGTGTAAGTGTGTGTTGTGTGTCTTCACAGTGGGGAGCGGCACATGAGTGCAGTGCCCATGGAGGCCAGAGGCATCACATCTGCCGGATCTGGAGTTACAGACGGTTGTGAGCAGCCTGGCATAGGCGTTGGGAACCGAGCTGGGTCTTCTGGAAGAGCAGCAAGTGCTCTTAATGGCTGAGCCATCTCTCCCTTAAGGAATTCTTAAATGAGTTACTTCATGGGTGTGCGTGGCGCACAGTAGGCCCTATAACATGCAGGTGCTGTTATTCCCTGACCTCCTCTTTCCCAAGCTTGTCTTCCACGAGGAATAAGATGCCTGGCCCCATGACAAGCAGATGTCAACAGACTACAGTTCTACTTATGATCCTTCTAGACCCCATGCCTCAGAGGGGTCGGGTCTCTACCCATCCTGCCATAAGCCCCGAGATGCCCCGTGACATACGGCCTCTCCATGCCAGCCCCATGCTTGTTGACAGTCTTGTCTGTATCGTACAGATATCCGAATTGCACTTGGGACAGGGATATTCAGATCGTGCCCTCTGCCATCCACACATTTGGATCCTAGTGTTGACTTTCTTTCCATTTTTTTAAAATGGTATTTTATATGGGGGGGGGCACCCATGTGCCACTACCCACATGTGGAGGTCCTAGGACAACTTTGTGGAGTCAGTTCTCTGCTTCCACCATGAGTGTCCCAGGGATTGAACTTAGGTTGGCAAGTACCTTTACAAGCTGAGCCATCTCTCTGGCCCTCTTTTCTTTCTTTCCTTTTTTTGAGACAGTGTTTCATGTAGCTCAGGCTGACTGACCTATATTCCCTTTGTAGCCCAGGCTGCCCTTGATTTTCTGACCCTCCTGGTTCTACCTCCTGAGTGCCAGGGTTACAGGTGTGTGCTCAAAGGCCTGACCTTTCATCCCAGACACCAGATCCCGCAGTCCCTCACTGAGGGTCCGGTCACCCTGATGGCTCTCCTGGGGAATGTCTGAGGGATAAAGAGCAAGCAGAGTCCTCACAGCTCTGTGGATCTAGTTTTTTCCCCAGCTGCAGGGGTTCCTGATTCCATATCCTGAACTCAGTTCCCAGCAAACAGATCTGTGAACATGGCCAGGGCTGGAATGTCTGGGTGTGTGCGGCACTTCCAGCTTATAAATGAAAAGGAACAAAGACCCCAGAAACTAGGGGCGGGAGCTGGTGGGGGGACAGGGACTGGGAAGAACTGAGGAAGCCGCGTGCGGCCAAGCTACAGAGGTGATAACTACGGCAGGAAGGCGGAAGGCCTGGGTTCCGGAAAAGAGAATGGACTGGGGAGGGTGGAGAGCCGGGAATGCCGAAGTCGGGAAGTCCTCCGGGGCCGAGGTCCCCCGGCTGCAAACACCGGAGCCCACCTGGGCTGCAACTCGGAGCGAGCTCGGCCGAGGCGCAGGAGGAGAACTCCGGGGACCCGGAAACCGTCCCCACCCACACGGCTCGCCCCGGGCCTCCTGGGAGGGGGACTCGGCGGCCCGCGACCCTCCGGCCTGGCCCCGGCGCCCCCTCCTCGAGTGCCTGCCCCTGCAGCAGTGACCGGGGCCGTCTCGAGGACCGAACCCCGCGCCCCGAGCGCGGCACCCTGCTCGGGACGGTCCCGCCACGCTCCAGCCCAGTCCCCTCTCTCTGCCCGCCCCTGTCCCGAGTGCCATTTCCAGCTGCCGAGGTCGGCTCGCCCCGGCCGCTCCGGGAAGTGGATCCTCGGCGGACCACAGGGAAGACAGGGCGACTCCCAGCAAAGGCGTCCCCCGTCTCCTCCGGACCCCCGCCAGGTACAGCCCACGCCCCTCGGGTGCCCGTCCCCTCCCTCCCAGCACAGCCTACCATCCTGCAGCCTCCGGCCCGGCACGACCCTCTCCGGCCACCGTAGGCGCCAGCTCCACTCCCCGTCCGGTTCTTTTCTTTTCCCTCCCTCTCCGCCTGAAGCCCCGCCCCCTCCCGGCCTCGCCGGCTCCCTCGAGCGGCCGCATTGCGCAGGCGCCAACGCTGCGCCGCGGGGCACCCCTTCCCACCCCCCCTCCCATCCCACCCGGCGCGCGGGCGGGGCTGGAGGCGGAGAAGCGGAAACCATGGCAACCAGGTCCTTGACTTCGGCTTTGCAGAAGCTCGGTCGTCATGGTAACAAGGCTGTCTCGGTGGGTTGATTGGAGGATGGGAAGGGCGGGGTGGGGGTGGGGGGGGACAATGAAGGGCCTCGAGCTGTGGAGCATTTGTGGGGGGGGGGGGAAGAAGGCGGGAAAAGGGCGAGAGGTGAGCCAGGAGGAATGATGTGGAAAACATCGGCCCGAGGGTGGTGGTGGGGCCGCACGAGGGAGGCTGGGGGGCAGAGGTCAAGAACAGCTCAGGGCGACATAACAGTACCCTGTCCCCCGAACAAGCAAGGCGGTGTGGGGGTGGTGCACACCTGTGATGCCAGCCGCTGGAAGGCAGCGACAGGAGCGGCTCGTGGCCCAAGCCCAGGCTCAGCTAAGTGGCGTGGTCGAGACCACCCCAGGCTGCAAGCCCGTCTCATGCGAAGGGAAACCGAACGGTGCGGGTGTGATGGCTCCGATCATACAGAAGGTCCCCAAACCCAAGCTGAGGACTCCTGCAAGTTGTCCCCTGACACCCCCACAATCGAGCACCCTGGCATGTGCACGCTCCCACACGGCACGCTCCCGAGCAACACAAAATACATATATGAAATGGAATCTTGAAACTAAAACAGCCGGGCGGTGGTGGCGCACGCCTTTGATCCCAGCACTCGGGAGGCAGAGGCAGGCGGATCTCTGTGAATTCGAGGCCAGCCTGGTCTACAAAGTGAGTTCCGGGACAGCCAGGGCTACACAGAGAAACCCTGTCTCGAAAAACAAAACAAAACTAAACTAAAAAATTAAAACAGTATAGAGCTTAAGTATTGATTTGAGAACTTACTAGATGCAACACTGTCTTTTGTATATATGTATATATATATATATTTATATATTTATATATATATATATATATATATATATAGTGTGTGTGTGTGTATGTAGCTGGGAGGTGGTGGCGCATGCCTTTAATCCCAGCACTTGGGAGGCAGAGCCAGGCGGATCTCTGTGAGTTCGAGGCCAGCCTGGGCTACAGAGCGAGATCCAGGACAGGCATCAAAACTATACAGAGAAACTCTGTCTCAAAAAAAAATATATATATATATATAGTGTGTGTGTGTGTGTGTGTGTGTGTGTGTGTGTGTGTGTACAAGTGATGGTTTACACTTGTAATGCTGGAGTTTGGAAAGTAGAGGCAGACAGATCAGGATCACGAGTTCAAAGTTATCTTTGGCTACATAGCCAGTTCACAGTCTGGGCTGAGACGCCATGTCAAAAACAAAACAACAACAGAACTACACACACACACACAAATAAACCATATTAGCCAGGCAGTACATGCCTGTAATCCGATCCCTGGGGAGGCAGAGGCAAGAGGATTGGTCAAGAGAGTTCAAGGCCAGCCTAGGCTATGTAAAGAGAGAAGCTGTCTTAATAATAAATAAATAAGTAAAAGCAAACAGCAACACCAACCCCCCAAATCAAAACAAAACAAAAAACGTGGGTCAAAATTAAAATGCAGCAGATGTAAATGACACCTAAATGTGAACTCAAAAAGAATTGTAGCAAGAGCTTTAGTGTTCTCTCCCTCCCCATTTCCCTCTCCTTTTCTTTGTCTCTCTCTCCACTAAGGAGGTATGGATACAAGGAAAACACTCAATGTGTTTAGGCTGAAGGTTTAAAACCACACTCACTTTATCCTCTGGAGATTGCACCCCAAGTCTCCCAGGCGACTCCTGAAGCCTCAGACTGTGTGAAATCATGGACTGAAGTTTTCCTATACCTATAATAAAGTTTGATTTATAAATTATGCACAGAATGAACCTAAGGACCAAAATAATAATAAGGACTAATATTAGGAGCTGGAGAGATGGCTTAGTGGTTAAGAGCAGGTACTACACTTGGAGGGGACCCTAGTTCAGGTCCCAGCATCCCCAGTGGGTGACTCACAAGTGCCTCTAATTCTATGTCCAGGGATCCAGCACCTACTTCTGGCCTTCGCGGGGCATCTTCACATCAGCATGCGTGTGCCCATACATAGACACACATGAATAAAAATTAAAAAATATGGGGCTGGAGAGATGGCTCAGAGGTTAAGCGCACTGACTGCTCTTCCAGAGGTCCTGAGTTCAATTCCCAGCAACCACATGGTGGCTCACAACCACCTCTAACGAGATCTGGTGCCCTCTTCTGGCCTGCAGGGGTATATGCAGACAGAACGCTGTGTACATGATAAATAAATAAATATTTAAAAAAAAAAAAAAAAAAATTAAAAAATAAATATTAAAAAGCCCACGTGCTGAAATGGAACAGTTACGACAGTGTGTTGCCATGGAGTTATCACCCTCACTACTTTTGCGCTTCAGAACCATTCAGCAGAGTATGCGGTATTTGAACACAAAAGCACTGTGCTCAACCTGACAACCAAGATGGCCACTAAGTAATGAACGTGTGAGTATTGGACAATGAGATGATTTTGGGCAGAGGGGGAGTCCCTAAGAATGGCATGCGATTTAAAGCTCTCCAGCTGGGCAGGGATGTGGCTCAGCTGATAGAGTGCCCGCTTGCCCCGTGTGAATCGTGGGTTTTGCTCCCAGCACAGCATACCTTGGGTGAAGTGAACACCTGTCATCCCAGCCCTTGGGTGGTGGAGGCAGGAGGATCAGGGCTTGAAAATCGTTTCTCTCTACATAGCTAGGTCAAGGCCAGCCTCGGGTACATGAGACACAAATATTCAGACAAAAATAAAAGGCCAGTGAGATGGCTGAGCAGGTAAAGGCACTTGTCCCCAAGCCCTGACCTGAGTTTGACTCCTGGGACCCGGGTCGTGGAAGGAAAAACCTGGTGCCTACAAGTTGTCTTCTGATCATCCATGTCACGGCAAGTGCACACGCACAATAAACAAGTAAATAAATGTATAATAAGACAGACTGGTGGTGGCGCACGCCTTTAATCCCAGCACTTGGGAGGCGGATCTCTGTGAGTTCGAGGCCAGCCTGGTCTCCAGAGTGAGATCCAGGACAGGCACCAAAACTACACAGAGAAACCCTGTCTCGAAAATAAAAAAAAACCCAAAACAAACAAACTATATATTTAATAGGAAGCTTGTGGATTGTTTACTTCTGGGTATTTGCCATTTAATATTTTTGGGTTACAGTGGACTTTAGGGAACTGAAACTACAAAGACCTTAACTGAATAAGGTTGGGGGCAAGAAACAACTGTCTTTTTTTTAAATTCTTTTTATTTTTAAATTGTGTGTGTGTGTGTGTGTGTGTGTGTGTGTGTCTGTCTGTCTATGTATGTATGTGGGTATGCTCTTGTGAGTATGGGCACTCTTGGAGGCAAGAGGAGGCTTGAGAGCCCCTGGAGCTGGAGTTAGAGGCAGTCGTAGGCTTCCCGATGTGGGTGCTGGGAACTGAACTCAGGTTCTCTATAAATGCTCTCGACAGCAAAGTCTTCTCTCCAGCCCTGTGCTTTATTATTATCACTTTTTGTAATTTTTAGACAGAATCTCATTATGTACCTCTGGCTAGCCTGGAACTTGCTATGTAGAGCAGGCTGGCCTCGAACTCACAGAGACCCCCCTGCCTCTGCTACACAAGTACTGGGATTAAAGGCGTGTACCATGCTACATGCCACCCTAACATCATGCCCAGTGACAGCTTTGTTTCTTGATCGTTGGCTGCAGCACATGTTGTTATTATTTCTGTTTGTTCATCAAGAAATTGCTTACATGTTTTCACCATTTCTTGTTCTTTGGTGTGGATGTAATATCCTGGATCGGTTGGAAGAGAACCCAATTCCCATGGAATGGAATCTGTCTTTAACTTTTTTTGGTTTTGGTTTTTCAAGACAGGTTTTCTTTGTTTAGTTTTGTTGCCTTTCCTGGAACTCTGTAGCCCAGGCTGTCCTTGAACTCACAGAGATCCGCCTGGCTCTGCCTCCCGAGTGCTGGGCTCGAGGCGTGCGCCACCACCGCCCGGCTTGTCTTTAACTCTTACTAAGCTGCCTAGCTATAGGTGAGCAATTCAACTCACCCTGTCTTTATTTTTTTAATAATTTATTTATTTTTATTTAATGTGCATTGGTGTTTTTGCCTGCATGTACGTCTGTGTGAGGGTGTGGGATCCTCTGGAACTGGAGTCACAGACAGTTGAGAGCTGCCATGTGGGTGCTGGGAATCGACGCTATGACCTCTGGAAGAGCTGCCAGTGCTCTTAACTGCAGAACCATCTCTCCAGCCCCCGCCATCTCTTTATTTAAAAAAAACAAAACAGAACAAAAACAAAAAACCAAAGGGTTGGGCTGGAGAACGGCTCCGTGGTTAAGAGTGCTGACTGCTATTTGAGAAGATCCAGGTTCGAGTCCCAGTACCCACACTGAGTGGTTCACCACCACTTGTAACTCCAGCTCTACAGGATCTGACAGCCTCTGGCCTCTTCGGGCACCACGTAGGTACATGGTACACATAGACTCATGCAGGAGCATACACACGTATACACATAAAAATAAATAAATAAGAGTTTTCAAAAATGAAGGATTGGCAAGATGGCTCAGTGGGTAAAGATGTCTGCAGGCACGTGCATAAAATAAATAAATAAAAAGGTCTTAAAAAAAAAAAAAAGACAGAGCTGGGCGGTGGTGGCGCACGCCTTTAATCCCAGCACTCGGGAGGCAGAGGCAGGCGGATCTCTGTGAGTTCGAGGCCAGCCTGGGCTACAAAGTGAGTTCCAGGAAAGGCGCAAAGCTACACAGAGAAACCCTGTCTCGAAAAACCAAAAAAAAAAGAGAGAAAAAAAAAGACAGTTTAGCCGGATGGCGGCCGTGGTGCACGCCTTTAATCCCAGCACTTGGGAGGCAGAGGCAGGTGGATCTCTGTGAGTTCCAGGACAGGCTCCAAAGCTACACAGAGAAACGCTGTCTCAAAAAACCAAAAAAAAAAAAAAAAAAAAAAAAAGACAGTTTAATGAATAAAAGTACCTGCTGCCAAGCTTGATAACTTGAGTTTGATTCCCACCTACATAGTGGAAGAATAAATAGTAATAAACTCATAGTGTGTACTCTTTCTCTCTCCTTCTCCTCTGCTCTCTGGAGTAGAGGTATGGACACACACGATTCTCACATACAGTTCCCATGAGTTGTTGAGTTGTTCTCTGACCTCCAATCATATTATAGCAAGTGCATACTCTCTGTCTCTGTCTCTGTCTCTCTCACACTCACACACACACACACACAAACACACACACACAGAGGCACACAAACACGCACGCACAAATAAACATTAAAAAGAAAGAGGAGCGGAGAGCCAGCCAACAGGCTGCTAAGTTTGGAAGCTCCAGAGATGCGAGCCCCTACACTCCCTGGAAAGCTGAGAAATCCTAGAATTCCTCATCGCACTTTGCCTAACTGCGGAAAAGAGGCGATTCACAAGAGAATTGTCTGGAAAATAGGTGTTGCCGACCTGGCTTGCTAGGTGTGGAAGCTGGCCATTGTTCCTGTGTGGTTTGCCTATCTTGTCTTTCCACCTGGAAGATGGGAAAGCAGCAAGACCCTGAAGGGGATCATGGGAGGTGACAGCCCTATCACCTGTTCCCCTCCTGCGCCAGGCATGTAGCTCAGTACGCTGCTTGGCTGATGAGAATGTACCTAGTATGAACAGCTGTAGCGGCACACACTTGTAATCCCAGCACTTGAGAGGTAGAGGCAGGAGTTCAGGGATTCCAAGTATTTAGATGCTATACAGTGAGTTTAAGGTCAGCTTTGGGTTACGTGAGGTTTTGTATCCAAAGCAAAACAATTAACAACAAAACAAACAGGAAGAAGGAGAAGAAGAAGAAGAAGAAGAAGAAGAAGAAGAAGAAGAAGAAGAAGAAGAAGAAGAAGAAGAAGAAGAAGAAGAAGAAGAAAGAAAAACAGAGCAGAGCTAGGGCTAGAGAGCATAGAGAGCCTAGGACCTGAGTTTGATTCCCAGCACCATGTAAGGTGGCTCCCAGCCCCGCCTCTAACCACAGCTCCTAGGATTCTGCTGCTCGCTTTTTACGTCCTTGGGCGCCCGCACATCCACACACACACTCTCACACAGACACAGAAACACACAGTACATCTTAGAAACAAGCAAACAAAGAAGCATTTTGCCTGTCATTCGTCCAGAATGACAGAAAGGTGATGGACTGGGTTGCTTAATTGTTTGTGAGTAATGGAAGTTGAGACCACACAAGAGGGCTCCTTACTTCGGGTGCCTGGGGAGGTGTTAGGGTTTGATGCAGTGGGCAGTTGGGAGTAATTACGGCTATTGGAGTTGGTGAACCACCTAATGAAAATAGTGGTGAGAAGCTGTGAGCCGGCTCCGTGGTTAGAGTGTTAGTCACATAGCAATGTGTGGGATAATTGGAAAGCATTGATGGAAGGCCAGAAGATCACGAAGGTGATCGAGGCCCAAGGAGGAAATGGAGAAAGACAATCAGAGTTGACTATGATGAGCTAATCAGCCGAAGTTGATAAATGATCTATGAGGTAAAGAAGGGAGAAGAATCCAAGATGAGCTGGAGAGGCGTGTGTGACTCCTTTTGTACAGATGGAGACAGCAGAAGACAGCTTGGAGGGGTGCCACTGTCCCAACCAGAGCCGCAGTCAGAGTCCTCGGATGACATCATCCTTATTTCTATTTTTTTGAAATGGGGTACCAAGTAGCCCAGGCTTATTTCAAGCCTGTTATGTGGTTGAGCATGGTCTTGAACTTATGATCCTCCTGCCCCTACTTCCCCAGGGCTGGGATTGCCGGCAGGAGCTGCCACATCTGTTTTGCTTTTTGTTTGTTTGCTTTTCTAGACGATGTTTCTCTGTGTAGCGCTGTCTGTCCTGGACCTCGATCTGTGGACCAGGCTGGCCTCGAACTCAGAGATCTGCCCGCTTCTACCTCTTGAGTCCTGGGATTAAAGGCGTGTGCCACCATGCCAGACTCCACGACATCTGGTTTATGCCGTGCTGGAGATGGGACCCAGGCCTTCATGCCTGCTAGGCAAGCACCCTACCCACCTGAGCATATCCCCCGCCCCCATTTGACATCATTTACAGTAACAAATTTTTTTTTTTTTGAGACAGGGTCTTAAGAAGCCACCCCAAGACTAGCTTCCAAGTGGCTCCACAGCCCGGGCTGTCCTGGCTGTCTTAGTCTCTCGAGCACTGGGATTACAGGTACATGCCACCACACCCTGCTCACATGACCCTTTGTGTCCAGCTCTGCGCATTCATGCACCCGCCCGCGTGGACTTTGGTCTAGGAGTGGGTGAGACAAAGCAGGATAGATTGGACTCTAAGAAGACCATCAGAGGGTAAAATCCCTCAGATGGCGGTGTGGTGGTGCTGATGACGGTATCCCGCGTTCAGCGAGGAGATGGCTGGGGTAGGGGAGCACAGGTGTTTGGGGGGCGTTGTTTTTCATACGTAACTCCGTTCCCTTGCTGTCCTGTTCCCCTGCTGGGCTTCAGTTAGTCAGAGCTGGTTTCTGTTCATGTCACAAAGAGCTGCCTGGTAAATTTCCTCGCTGTGAGTTCTCTGCTGACTGCTTATGACTCAGCCTCATCGATTCAGCTGGGTCTCGGGCTCCTGTGGGATGCTGTCACGTGCATTTTCATTTCTCCCCATCACCCAGAAGAGAGGTGTTTGTTTCCGTATATGTGTGTGCGTGTACACACACGCATGGGCTTATGTGCACATGTGTCATCTGTGTACATGTTTATACGGGTGTGTGCATGTGAGTTGTCTGCATGTATATGTGTGTACGTGCATGTGGAGGACAAAGATGGATATCTGGTGTCTTCCCCAATTGATCTCCATCTTGTTTATTCATGTTTATTACGTGTGTGTGTGTGTGTGTGTGTGTGTGTGTGTGTGTGCGCGTGTGCGCATGCATGCTCACATGTGCCTGTGCACATGTTTTTCACATGTGGAGGTCAGAGGACAACTCTCAGGAATGTGTCCTCTTCTTCCATCACGTGGGTCTCGGGGGTTGAACTCCGGTCATCAGGCTTGTTGGCAAGCGTCTTCATCTGATTCCCCACCTCCATTTTGGAGACAGGGTCCCCTTGAACCTGGAGCTCACTGTCTGTCTGGCCGGCCGGTGAGCTCCCGGGCCGGCCTGTCTCTGCCTCCCCAGCACCGGGATGACAGATGAAATACTGCTGCACCCAGCTTTACACAGAGTCTGTGGGGTCCAGTCCGCACCTCTGCCCAGCAAGCTCTTGCCTCAGCAGGCTGAGCCCCGTCTCCAGCCCCAGAATGGTGTTTTCTGACTACCCCTAGTTGGGACCCACATGGATGAGTTTTGAGATAGATTAAGTGTGGGTCTCAGTGTGACAACACTGAGAAGCGGGGGCCTGTAAGATGTGAGATTAGGGCTGGAGCTGGAGAGACGGCTCAGTGGTTAAGAACTCATTGTTCCTGAAGAGGACCCAGGTTTGATTCCCAACACTACATGGTGCTTCACAAACATCTGTAACTCCAGTTCCAGGGGATCTGATGCTCTCTTCTGCACTTAGCAGAAACCAGACATACATACATGTGGTACACAGACAGACAGACAAAACACCCATAGTCAAAGAGAGAGAGAGAGAGAGAGAGAGAGAGAGAGAGAGAGAGAGAGAGAGAGAGAGAGGGGATAGTTATGGGTTGAAGCTGAAATGCCTCCTACAAGGTCGTGTTTTAAGCACCCTATCCCCAAGCTGTGGAGCCTGTTAGAAAGCATGTGTGTGTGTGTGTGTGTGATGGTTAGCATTAATTGACAACTTGACACAGTCTAGAGTCATTCCCCTAGGTCATGCCTGGGGCGGGGGTTATCTTCATCTCATAAAATAAAGTGGAGAGATCCCTTCCACTGTGGGTGGCACCATTCCCTAGGGGGACCCTGGACCGGAACTAGAGAAGGGAGCTGAACACCAACATTCATCACTCCGTTCCTGGTTGTGGGTGTCATGTGACCAGCTGCTTCCGGCTCCACCTGCCTCGTGGTGGACTGTGACCCTTGAACTGTGAACTAAAGCAAACCCTTTCCTCTTGGAATTGTCTCTGTCAGTGTATTCTATCACAGCAGTGAGAAAAGTAACTAACACAGGGCATGGTTGACGGAAGTCCGTCACTGGTCTTTGAAGGTGATACCCACCCCTTGTTCCCATCTAGCTCTCTGTTTCCTGGTCTCTTACCATGTGAGGAATCATGGCATCATGCCCCCACCACCTTGGATGGATCCATTCTGTTGTGTCTCCCCGGGGTGATGGACTGCGTCCCCCTGAAATCATGAGTCAAACTAACTCTGTGATGGCTAATCTTCCTTGTCAACCTGCCTGGATTGAGAATTTCCTAAGAGACAGACATAGCTTTTGGTGTTACCGTGAAGCATCTCCAGGGAGTTTAACTGAGCCGGGAAAACCCACCCTGAATGTGGGTGACGTCATCCCATCCACTGGGACTCCAGACTAAATAAAACAGAGACAGTGAGCGGAGCACAGCATCTCTCTGCTTCCTGACTTCAATTTCGATGTGGCCCGCTGCCTCACCCCCTGCCCCCCCCGTCACCCCCTCCCCACCGTGACGGACTGAGGGGACTGTACCCTCAGACTGTGAGCCGCAGCAAACCCTGCTTGGAGCTGCTTTTGTGAGGTTTTTTTTTTCTCACAACAACACAAAAGTAACTAACACAGCCATTAAGGGGAATGATGATGACTTCCTCGCTCCTTTGAGCTGGATTAGTCATTGAAAGTGCGTTGTTATAAATGGAATCCACCCTCCCTGTTTTCTCTCCTCTGCACACAGCCAATTTGGCCCCCCCCCCCCCGACGGGAAGCAGTGCCAGGCCCCCGGCAGAAGCTGAATGGATGCCAGCCCTGTGCTCCTGGCCTTCCCAGCCTCCAGAACCATGGCCATCACGATTCTCTACTCTTTACAGCTTATTCAATCCTACCTGGGTATGCTGGCACACACCTGTCATCCTCTTATTTTAGAGGCTGAGACAGGTGAATGACAAGTTCGAGGCCACGCCGGGCTAATCTGTGAGGCCTAGTCTCCTAAAACAAAACAACCCTAAAAACCAGAACAATAAAACAAGACACACACACACACACACACACACACACACACACACACACACACACACACGTGTGTCTCTGTGTGTGTGTCTGTGTCTGTGTCTGTGTGTACGCGCCATGGTGCACATGTAGCGGTCAGAGGACCCTTGCCCAAGTTGGTTCTCTCCATACCAATATGGGTCCTGGGGATGGAACTCAGGTTGTCTGCCTTGGGGGCAAGCGCCTTTGCCCGCTGAGCCGTCTCAGTGAACCGCTAATACTTTCCCCACACACCTCTTTGGTGGAGACGGGGTCTCATGTATCAAAGGCTGGCCTCAAACTTGCCACGGAGCCGAGCGTGACCTACAACTTCTGATCCTCCTGCCTCGGTTACAGGAGTGCTGGGATACAGGCCTGCGCCGCTGTGTCTGGTTTTATGGCGTTCTGGGGCTAGAACTCAGGGCGTCGTGCACACGAGGCAAAGCACTCTGCCAGCTGAACCACGTTCCCAGCCCCAGGTTTGTTTTTTTTAAGTGACTCTAAGCTAAACAACAGAGTTCAAAATTTTGGCACGATTTTGTTTGAAGACACAGCTGTTTCCATCCAGAAAAGAGCATTCCATTAGAGTCAATGTGACATCTGGTGGGAGTGGGGGCGGGGGCGGGGGGGACACGCGGCGATGACACACACGCCTCACCCAGGAAGCTTCTGTTTAGGCTAAAGAGTGGCGTATGTGAATTCAGGCGCTGGAGACGGGAACATGAGGCCAAAATGGTTTGCCTGGCTGTGTATAAGCTCTTAAAACACACACACACACACACACACACACACACACACACACACACACACACGCTCAAACAACACAATGATTGATTGATTGTGGTGTGTGTCGGGGGGAATGCACATACCATGTCATGTATGTAGAGATCAGAGGACAACTTTCAGGAATCCGGTCTCTCCTTCTGTTATGTGGGACCCAGGAATCGAACTTAGTTCCCCAGGCTTGGCAGCAAGTACTCCTAAAACTGAGCCATCTCACTGGGCTGTCTCACGGGCTCTTCTAAGCACTTTTGGTGTCTGGAGAGACTTATTCTCATTCATAAATGCCGCAAAGAGTCAATACATACAGCAGCAGAAGTTCAGATATTGTCCTCTGTCCTGCTGTTAGGTAACTATGACAATATTAGCAGGAATTAGGGCGCATTAGTTACTGTCCATAGTCCTAGCGACTTAGCAAGCTGTTAAGCCCGGGCGATTGAAGCCATCCTGGGCGATATAACAAGACACTGTCTCAAAAATACTGCTGATAGAACCATACAGTTTCTTAGTCTCTCTGTTTTTCTTTCTTTCTTTTTTTAAGTTAATACGTACTTCTTTGAAACTTTTTTTTTTAACATTTGTTTACTTATTGTGTGGGTGAGCATGTGCCACGTGTGTGGAGGACAGAGGACAACCTGCAGGGGTGCATTCCCTCCTCCCTCCGGGGTTCTGGGCATTGAACTCAGCTCATTTTGGAGACAACAGCCTTTACCTGCTGAGTCCTCTCGAGGACACTGTCTCAGGTTTCCTCATTGCTACATAAATGTTTGCCACTGTTACTACAATGAGACTTACTTGGTGGACCACTTTAAAAATGGTTTAAGGGCTGGAGAGGTGGCTCAGCAGTTAAGAGCACTGAGTGCTTTTCCAAAGGACCTGGGTTCAAGTCCCAGCACCCACATGGCAGCTAATAGTCATCTATGACTAATAACTCCAGTTTCAGGAAACCAAATGCTCTTTTCTGCCTCCTCAGAAGCACATGTATGTCTGTGCACACATGTACACCCACACAGTAAATAAATGTGCACAGACATACATGCAGACAAAACAGCCATACTAATAAAATAAAAATAAATGAATAAATCTAAAAATACTAATTAAAAAGAAGATTTCCCTGAGCCAGGTGTGATGTTACATGCCCATCATTCCAGCACTCAGGATGCTGGGGCTGTATGATGGCAAGTTCCAGGCTAGCCTGGGCTACATATCAAGACCCAGTCTTAAAACAAAACAAACAAACAAAACATTCTTAAGATTAGTGAGTCCTTTAATTCCAGCACTTGAGAAGCAGAAGCAGATGGATTTCTAAGAGTTCCAGGCTAGCCTGGTCTACATAGTGAGACCCTGTCTCAAAACAAACAAACACAACCGAAATCCCATGGTTATTATTTGGCAATGTGTCACACAATCCCTGCACTCAGTAGCATGAGGCACGAGGATTGTGAGATCAAGGATAGCCAAGGCCATTTAATGGTGTCCTGTTTTAAAAAAGAAGAAGAAGGAGGAGGAGGAGGAGGAGGAGGAGGAGGAGGAGGAGGAGGAGGAGAAGAAGAAGAAGAAGAAGAAGAAGAAGAAGAAGAAGAAGAAGAAGAAGAAGAAAAGGAAAAAGTTTGGAAAACAGGTCACGTCTCCTTAGCAGATGTGGTCTTTATAGAATATTTTTATCACAGAGGGTTTCCCACATTTGTGTTCATTGCCTGTCCGTGGGCAGATAAACAATCCCACTGTGTAATATTGATAAAAAAAAAATTAAATTAAAAAAAGCTGGGAGTGGTGGCTGGGGACAGATCTTAGTTTTTCATCTCTAAAGAAAGAGAAAAGAAGAAAAACTTTGGGAGGCTGAGGAAAGCAGGCCACGCAGAAGTGAAAGAGGCCGGGCAGGCCGCCCGCGGTGAGGGCGCCCAGGTCCCTCGCCGTCTTTACCTTGGCTGTCTCTGAGAATAGCAGAGAAGCTGTTAAGTGGGGCAGCGCCTTGCTGGACTCCGCTGCAGTGAGGGGACCTTTTGAAGAATCCTTTTCTCTCGAGCCTTCTCAGCATGTGAGGCCATTTTTGAACTGTCGGTTGGAGAATTAGGGCTCACGAGTCCTGCTTTTTTGAGCTTTTTTTTTTTTTTTCCCCGATGTAGAGTTCCTTGTAAGTTTTTAAAAGAAAATCTCTTATCATAAATGGGTCACTATTCAGCCTTCACCCCGAGGCCTAGAACTGCTCACATTTTTGGGGACATAAGGAGGTTGTATCTGGGTCCCCGTGTCCTTGACTTCTTAGACAGTTGTCTTCATGACCCTAGCTACCCACCCCTACACCCAAAGGGGACTTGTACAAGAGAGTGAGGCAGGAGGATGGAAACTAGTGTCAGATGAGGGTTGTTTTCTTTCTTCTTTTACACTTATTTCCTTTTCGTGTGTGTGTGTGTGTGTGTGTGTGTGTGTGTGTGTGTGTGTGTGTGTATGTGATGTGTGTTCATGAGTAGAGATATGCACGGGCTGTGGTTCACATACAAAGGTCAGCAGACGATTGACATCAATGAGTCTTCAGTTTTCTCTCCACCACACCGTATCAGCCCTGGGAATGGAACTCGCATCCTCACACTCGGCAGCGAATGCCTCTGTCCACTGAGCCGTGGTGCCTGTCCTCAGCTGAAGTTTGGCCCGCAATCTCAGTCCTGAACTATCTGGTTTGAATCTCTAGGTTAAGCTAAGCCCTTTGTCCTTTTAATTTTGTCAAGTTTCTGTTGTGTGCTGGGGACTGAGCCCGGGGCCTTACGCACGCTCTGTAAGCATCCTACCACTGAGCCAAGCCCCCAGCCCCTCACGGGTCAGTTCTATCCAGCCTAGAGAACTCTTGCCAAGAATGCTTGAAGCTCTGACTTGGAATCCCAGCCCTGCACACACACACACACACACACACACACACACACACACACACACACACACACCCCAGAAATAAATAAGCCCCCAAGCCCCAAACTGGAGGTAGAACAGGGAGAGAGAGAGAGAGAGAGAGAGAGAGAGAGAGAGAGAGAGAGAGAGAGAGAGATTTTCTAGAAAAGTCTTTAAAAGTGGCTATGGAGAGTATGTACGTAACAAAAGAGCCCTGGTCCCTGGACACATGAAGGCAAGCATTGTTATAGGCCTGGAAAGTCTAACAAGGGCCATGTTGAAAGTGATCCCACTGGCTGGCTTTGCTGGGCCATCCCAGAAGGAAAATCTGGGGCTGGAGGAATGGAGAGCAGGGGTAGAGGAGGGGGGGAAGTCCGTGATGGAAGGAAATGATAGAGGAATAGATTCAAGAATCCAGAGACCGACAGAGATTAGGCGCTTGGGTGTGGGTGGGAAGTGTTTGGCGGATCTGGATCTCTGTCTCCCTTTCTCCCCACCCCCTTCCTCTCCCTCCTTGTTTTCACATACCCCAGGCTGACCTTGAACTCACTATGTAGCAGAGAATGACTTTGAACTCTTGATCTTCCTGCCTCTACCTCCCAGATGCTGGACTTATAGGTGTGCACCGCCAAGCCTGGCCCTCCAGCTTCGGAGACACAATCTCACTGTAAAGCTCGTTCTGGTATCCAGCTTCAAACTGTCAACAAGTTCTGGGGTTACAGTTACGCCCCACCCTGCTTTTCCCTCCCCATCTCCTTCCCCACCCCCACCCCCTTCTCACCAGGGTTTGTCTGTCCATGCAACCCTGGCTGGCCTGAAACTTGCTGTATAGATCAGGCTGGTTTTGAACTCACAGAGATCTGCCTGCCTCTGCTTCCCAAGTGCTGTGTTGTGTGCCACCACACCCAGCTTACCTTTCCTTCTCCCCACCCCCACCCTCTCTCTCTTCTTTTTTCCTTCTTTTGTTTTTCTGGAGACAAGGTCTCACATAGCCCAGTTTGGCTACAAATTCACTACATGGCCCAAAACGATCTTGAATTTCTGAATCCTCCTGCCTCCACCTCCCAGGCACTGGAACTACAGGCGTGTGTCACCATGCCTACTTTGATGGAGTTCCAAGGATCAAACCCAGAGCTTTGTCCAGGCTGGGCAAGCATCAGCTGAGCCACGTCCCCAGCCCTCCCTTTCCCTGTTTTAAGGATGGTTTCCCCCAGGGGAGAATCAGACCCTGTACAACGTGTCCTTGAGGTGGGACACAGAGCTGTGGTGACCTCTCATGGATTTTTGCACAGGCTTATACCTGTGGGTGTGCGCTTCACCAAAGTCCCTACCACCGGAGGTCAGTTATGGCTTCTTTTTCGTTCTTGCTATAGTTATTGATTCCAGTTTGTACCCGAGGCTGAGCTAGCCTAGAACTGGAGATTCTTCCTGCCTCTGCCTCCCAAGGGCTAGAGCCCAGGTTTGTGCTCAGTCATGGCTTATTTTCATTTACATTTATTTTGTGGGTGTGGGTGTGAGCACACAAGTCTGTGCTCAGCATGGGTGTGTCAAAGTCAGAGGATAACTTGTAAGAAGAGTCGGTTCTTCTGCCCTGTGGGTTCTGGGAATTGAACTCAGGTCTTTGGGCTTGTCAGCAGCTGTTTTTACCATTTGAGCCATGTCGGCTGTCCCTCAACTCTGTTTCATTCTCATTATCTGTGTGTGTGAGTGTGGGTGCACGGGCCGCGTCCTGTGTGTGGAGGTCAGAGGACGCCTTTCAGGAGTCAGTTCTCTCCTTCCGTCGTGTGGGATCCAGGGTTTAAACGCAGATCATCAGTCTTGCGTGGCAAGCCATTTTACCGGTCCCCAGGACGGTTTTGATGCCTTGTGTTGAGTAAAACGTAGAAGGCAAAAAGCGGGCAATTTTATTTGCATATCATTTATTTTTATTGTTTTTAAAAACATATTCACCTGTTTATATATCAAAAGTGAAAAAAAAAGCATTTACCAACAACATTCAAGAACATTCGACCCCCCATTTGGGGCCCCTGTGGGTACAGTGTGTGGCTGTCCAGTGCATAATGAAAAAAGGAAAGAGAGAGAGAGGGAGAGGAAGAGAGAGAGGAACGAAAACACAAAGACGGAGTTGGTTTTTTCCGGTGGAGGCATAATGGATGCAGAGTGGCCCTGCTATGAGATTACATTCACGTTACCTTCTTGTGCAATTTTTCAGTAAATTGGTTTTCTGATCACACCCCCAGCTGAGGAGGCTTTCAAAAATGATTATCTAACTAAGGTGGTTGACCGGGAGCTGGCTGTCTCTTTCATCCCTCCCCCCCCAACCCCCCACGTGTCCACTGCTCACATACAGCAGCCGGAAATGACACATTGAAGTGAGTCACCAGTGCGGCTCTGAGTCACCCGGTAATTGGAGAAAGTTCTGTCCTGTTAGGTCACACAGCCCCTTTTGCCGTTCTGTTCCTGAATGTATTGGGAAAATGTGAAACCACTTTGCCCTCCCTCAAATCTCTCTCTTCCACCCAATCTTTTTTTTTTCTTCTTCTTCTTCCTTTAACGTGGGCTGCCAAGCATCACCTTGGCAAGGTCCCTAAGGAAAAAAAGCCACAGGGGTGGGGGGTGGGGGGCGAGTATTGGGGTAAGGGTGTGTTGGGCTGCCACTAGGCGGCAGTGTGAGCCCCCATCACTGGGGCCACCCGGAGGGGCAGGCTTGTGGAGTGTCGCACCCCTGAGATACAGGAATACAGACCCCAAATAGGACACCGTGTGCCATGGTTTAAATAAAATGCTTTTTCCTTAACAGTGCTTTTTCTCTCCAACAAGCTACAAGAGGAAGAATGTGATAAATATTCACGCACACCCCTGGCCTCTCCCCTGCACCCCTCTGGGAGGTTGGGGGGATGAAGAGCCAGGCATACACACATCTGACCTTTCTTTTCACTGTTCCCAAAAGGAAAAGAGTTTGTGGGTTGAAAAAAGCTATGTAAACAAGTCACCTACACTCTGAAATAACCTATGCATGCTGTGTTGGGGAGGGCACACAGGGAGCTGGGAGAGGGCTCAGTCCTGGGCAAACACTTGATCCGTCCATCTGCTGGCCCTGGGAGCTGGGCAAGGTGTTCGTTTCCACAGTGCGCCTTGAGAGAAAGGCAGCGTTTCTTCCTTTAGCCCATGGCCACCCACCCCAGCCATGGCAGACAGGGGCAAGAGGTGGCCACAGCGTGACTGGAACACAAATGACTTTTGCCCAAGCATGCCGAGGGGAAGTCTTGTGGCCCCACCCCACTGGGGTGTTAATGGGACCCAGGTCCAAAAGCTGAACGTTAGAAAGATGAGCAGATGAAGATTCTGTGAGGTCTGTGGTCTGGATCACAGACCTTTGTGGAACAGGGGAGTCCAACTCCTAGTGAGGGAGTTCGACTCTTTCCCCTTCGAGAGTCCGAGGTCTGGGAGGCCGGTTGGAAAGATTTACCAGTGTGGGAGTGAAAAGGAAATGCCTCCTTTTTCTCCAGAAAGAGTACTTAAAATAATTATTTTCCTCAGAGTTTCTGCTTATAAACGTCTCCAGTTTTGTCCCGAGTGAAGGCTTCTCTTCCCGCTGTCAAGGCTCCATCAATTGGCCCATGAAGAGGATTGTCCCTGGGGGAGGGAAGAATCATGCCAGGTGAGAAACTAAGGAGGTGAATGAGCTGCCAGGAGTCACAGCTGCCATGTGGCCAAGTGAGGACAGGGGTCCTGGCACTGTGCGGGCTATGACAGGGTGCTGGAACGGAATGGAACCGAGTTCCAGAATCTTGGCTGAGTCCCTAAAGGCTCAAGGGACATCTACATGGTGGGCAGGTATATAATGATTTTTGAGAAATAGCAGGAAGAGAGGAGAATGTTAGGGGGTTCTGCTCACCTGTCGGATTGTGCCGAACCACAAAGAGGAAGGGCCGGTCCATAACCACCTCCTGAGGAGCCATGCGGGCTGAGACTAGAATGGCTGGAAGAGAAGGGACACCATGTTAGGGTGAGGGGGATGTTGTCACTGGTGTAGTCCCAAGAGATCCAGCGACACTAGTCTATCTGGTGTCAGCACTGGGAAGTGATTTTCAGGTGGTTTAAAAGAAACTAGTCGTGGGTATGGAACCCAGAGCCTCAGGCATGCTAGAGCAAGAGCGCTACAGCTGAGTCACACCCCAGCCCCTCACTGGGGGATTCTAGGCAGGTGCTCTACCACTGAGCCACACCCCAGCCCCTCACTGGGGGATTCTAGGCAGGTGCTCTACCACTGAGCCACATCCCAGCCCCTCACTGGGGGATTCTAGGCAGGTGCTCTACCACTGAGCCACACCCCAGCCCCTCACTGGGGGATTCTAGGCAGGGGCTCTACCACTGAGCCACACCCCAGCCCCTCACTGGGGGATTCTAGGCAGGTGCTCTACCACTGAGACACACCCCAGCCCCTCACTGGGGGATTCTAGGCAGGGGCTCTACCATCAGGCTACATTCCCTGTCCTTGGTTTTCAGGACAGGGTCTTGCTTCTTTGAACTTACATCCTTCCGCCTCAGCCTTCCAAGGCACGCACACACTATCTGGCTTTGGGTGGTTTCTTTGTTCTCTGACTATTGCCCTTAAATTTCGAGACTTCCTCTGAGCCCCGGTTTCCTGTAGGATTTGGTCAAGCTCTATCATTCACAAACGTATTTAGGGCTCGCTGCCTAGCAAATGTTTTAAATTCACTTCCTTCAGGTTTTCCTTTGGGGTCCTGGCCACATTCTGGGACCTCGGGAGCCGTAGACGAGGCAGCAGGGTCCCAGGGGGAAGTGGAGCCATTTTCCACACGGAGGAACAGGTTTGGGGAGGGTGGTGACTGGGCTTGCTCTGGGTTCCCTCCCTGCAGGGTGACTGCCCCCCCCCCCCCGGGTGGCGGGCTGACACAGGCAGAGCCCCACTCACCTGTGGAGGACGACGCCACAGTGCCGCTCTCGTTCACCTCGATCTTGACTTTCTGCAGTGCCTGAGCTACAGAGAGCTGCTCTTGGTCTGAAACAGAGCGGGAGGGGAGGGGGGACCGGTTAGCCACCACTCTATCCTCCCCGGGGGACCCTGACCCTCGGAAGCAATGAAGTGAGAGGGTTTATATCTCACCGGAAAGACTTGTAAAGTCGGCCTGGACTGGGCTAAACATGTCCGTCATGCCCAAACTCTCCAGGGGCCCTCTGAGGTCCACCTCAGTCTCCAGAGAGAACCTGTGAGCAGGAGCAGGGAACAGTCAAAGGCTGCTTCTCCCAGGACCTACCAGGTGTCCTCTAGGGCGGTGGGAGAGCGTAGATCCTGTGTTTGCTTGACACAGGATCTCATGTAGCCCAGGCCGGCCCCAAACTCACTGTGCAGCCAAAGATGATCTTGAACTCCAGATCTCCCTGCTTCTACCCCCTGAGTGCTAGGATTTACAGGTGTGCACCACCATGCCTGATTTATGTAGTGCTGAGGTTTGAACCCGGGGCTCCAAACAACTTGGGCAAGCATTCCACCAACTCAACTACTTCCCTAGCCCTGACCTTGAACTTCTGATCCTCCTGCCTCCTCCTCCCTAGTATGGGATTAGAAGTCTTTGAAATCTCATTTGGCTAGGGGGTCTGGCCTTTTTTTTGCCTCCTTGCCAGAAACTTCTAATATTAATGAAACATTGTTCAGTTTTGCCACCCCCTCGAATCCGTGACTAATGGCTTTCCCCAAATAAGACAGTAGTTTGACATAATTGTATTCCGTTTGACTGCAGGAGAGGAACAGGTTCGCATTCTCCTGCGAGGGGGCTGGAGATAACTGTGGTCTGCAAGCTGTTTCTGAGCAGCTCACACAGTGAGACCTTGGGGGGCCCCTCTGCTTCCCACCAGGGCATGACTCATTATCTCCATCTTGATGAGGGAGGAAGACAGTACAAGTTCAGTAGCTAAAGCAACTCTATTCCTCTCTTTCTCCAAGCCTGACATTAGAGCATCTGGGCGTTTAGGGGAAGCCTGGGCTGGGAGCTTCCCTGTAATTCTGGAATTGCCCAGTCACAGCCCTCTCCACCCCTTTCGATTCTGCAGAAGGATTAGGGGAAAAGAAAAAAGAAAAAAAAAAATCTGTTTTCTTCTACTTTTTTTTTTTTTTGAGGGGAGTAGGGGGAGTCTTACTCAGAAGCTGTGGCCACTCCTCTGCCCAGTCTTGGGATTGATGCCTTTCAATGTTAGTACGTGAGGGAGGGGGTGGGTGGGAGCAGGAGACATTTACAAATGGGTGTCGATGACTTAGAAGCTCCTACATACTGATTTCTCTAGCTCCTCTTTTGGTGGGTCTTATTATTATTATTATTCTTTTAAGATGGGGTCTCATGTAATTCAGGAACAGAGTGAGGATGACCTTGAACCCCTGGTCCTCCTGCTTCCAGCCCCCTCATGCTGGGATGACAGGTGTGCACCACCAGCCTGGTTTATGGGGTGCTGGGGATGGAACTGAGGGCTTTGTGCGTGTGCACCCAGCCACCTGAGCTGCGACTCCACCCCTTTCCCTGCACCCCTCCCCCTTTATGAGATAGGGTTGGCCCAGGTTGGCCTTATCGTCCCACGCTAGCCTTTCAAGTGTTAGGATTACAAATTTGTGCTCCATGCCTGGTCTATGCGGTATTGGGGTCTAACCTGGGGCTTCACACAGGGTAGGTGAGCACCCTACAAACTAAAGTATATCCTCAGAAGTCTTGTCTCCATAGCCAAGGCTGGTCTTGAACTCACTGTCCTGCCTCAACCTCTCAAGTGTTGGGGCTGCAGGCTTGCGCCACTATGCTCCACTTTGGCTGACTCTTACTGGGTGGGTATTTGGTGCATGGTTGGTGTGGGGATGGATTTTATAAAAACCTGTCTCCTCTCCAACAGTAGAAACTTTCTCCAAGCATGATGATGAAATAAGAAACCGTAATCAAACCCAGGCTAGAAGGTTTCTCATCAGCCTCCCACACACGTCCCTTCTGGGAAACTCCACATGGGGACAGTGGCTTTAGGAGAGCTGGTGGGTGCCGGGATTAGGGTGTTGGCAAGCGGGATGGCTTACTTAGGCAGGATGAGGAGACGGGGTAGTCTGGTCATGTTCCCTTTCCATTGTCGGATGAGCTCAGCATCCAAGATGCTGGTGAGGGCGGACAGGGGCACTTCCTTCTGGTAGGGCGCCGCTATGAACATGCTGAGGGTTTCGCCGTGGTAGGGCAGTTCCAGGATGTCATAGTAGTGGCCTTCAGGAGTGGTGAATTCAGCTGGGAAGAAACCACGATGGCACCTTAGAAATGGCTCCAGCTCACATGGAGTCCTTCCTAGATTTTCTCCTGTCTTCTCTCCCTCTAGAAGGCCAAGCTTTCCTCTGTTCTAGTTTTGGAGATCCTTTAACCACTCTACATCCCTCCCGTTCAAGTGTTTTCCTTTCCTTTCCTTTTTTTTTTTTTTAACTAGCTATATAGCCGAGGATGGCCTTGAACTTACTCTCGACCACACCTGGCTTATGAGATGAGCATGGAACCCAGGGCTTTACTGATGCCGGATGAGCATTCTCCCTAAGCTGTAACCAACCGCACCCTTCCTGTCTACCTTTTCCCCTTGATCTTCACTGTTTTCTGTCTGACCCCAGCCACTCATTATCCCCATCCTCATCCTCTAAACCCCAACTTCCCCTAGCTTTCCCCCCTCGCTGGGCTTGTTGGCCCCAGGTAACCACACTAGAAACCCCTTAGGAGGAGAGTTGGCGTAACAGCAGGGCAGATGTGGCTCCGGGAGACTATCTCCATTTCAGCTTCATCTAGCATCAAAGAAACTGATATTTTTTTTTTCTTCCATTCTCGAACTCTCTCAGTATCTCCTGTTGGGAAGTCATTGCCATCACTTGGGTGTGTCCACCTCCTCTGCCCTCTTCCTCACTCTGAGAGGGACACTGGGTGCTGCCCAGGGCCTGTAGTTGTAAGATGTGAGGACGGGGGATCTTGGACTCACTGTAGTTGAACTTGTTGGTCTGAGCCATCATGGGCACAGAGACGGTGCTGCCATCAGACTTGTGGAAGAGGCGGTGGTGGGTGCTGGACGCTGAGAAGGGGGTCTTCCACTGGCCGTTGAAGTAGAGGGCGTTCACCAGCACCAGACGCGTCAGATGGTCCACAGCCCCTTTGGCAAGTAAGTCGCTGATCATACCTAGGGGAAGAGAGGCGATCAAGATGTAAGATGGGGGCTGGAGTGATGGCTCAGCAGTTAAGGGCACTGGCTGCTTCTCCAGAGAACCTGGGTTCAATTCCCAGCAACTACAGGGCGGCTCACAACCATCTGTAATGAGATCTGGCGCCCTCTACTGGCCTATAGGCAAACATGCAGACAGAATACTGTATACATAATAAATAATAAATATTTTTTTTAAAAGATGGTTTTTAAGCATCTTTTTAGATGCTTCCCTTCTGTTCCCTGTTCTCAAATGGATGTACATTGAACGGATACAAAGAGCTCGTGGGGGTTAAATGGATCGATTTGTTTTAAGAGTCTCGGGATGTCTTTCAGCTCAATATTCTCTCCCCCTCCCATTCCTTCCCTTCCTTCCTTCTTTCTTTCTTCCCTTTTTCCCCTCTTTATAGTACAGCCTAGTCCAGAACTCACTCCAAAGCCTAGGTTGGCCTTGAATTTATGGTAATCCTCCTGCCTCAGCTTCTCAGGAGCTGGGGTGATAAGCCTGAGCCACATCCCTGGTTTCATCACATTTTTCTTGGCTCTGGGATCCAGGTCAGCATCAGAATTAGACGCTCCTGCCTTCCCTCACGACACCTCTTCTTTTGGTCCCTAAACTAACAGTCTCGGAGGCCTGTGCACACCCGTGTCATAGTTACTGCTGCTCTTATCGACAGTGATGTCTTTGATGTTGGTGTTGCTTTCGTTCATTTGTTTTAAAAAAATTATTATTATTATTGTGTGTAGTGGGGGAAGTAGGAGGTGTGTGTGGGTGCGTGCATGCCAAGTGGAGGTCAGGGGGTGACTTATGCAGAGTTGGTTCTCTCCTTCCACATTCCTGTATGGCTTCCAGGAATCAATTCAGGTCGCCAGGCTCCACAGCAAGAGTCTTTGCCGGTGGAGCCATCTTGCTGGTCCTAGTGGGTTTTGGTTGTTGTTATTTGGAGGTGGTAGAGTAGCTAGGATTACAGGTATACTGTATACTGTACTGCACTCGGCTTGAACTGGTTAGTTTTCTTTCTCTCCCTAGAGTTTTGGTTTTGATTTGTTTGTTTGTTTGTTTGTTTGTTTGGACAGGATCTTGCTATGTAGCTCAGGCTAACCCCAAACTCACCATCTTCCTACAGGGATGAGCCATTATACCCAGCTCCGAGTGCTCTTATGCAAAAGCCTAACCAAGGCAAATATGGTTTTGGGTTATAGCTCAGTGGTAGAGCATGTGCCTAGAATTCCCCGTGAGGGGCTGGGGTGTGACTCAGTGGTAGAGCCCCTGCCTAGAATCCCCCAGTGAGGGGCTGGGGTGTGGCTCAGTGGTAGAGCCCCTGCCTAGAATCCCCCAGTGAGGGGCTGGGGTGTGGCTCAGCGGCAGAGCGATCACCCAGCATGCAAGAGGCCCCGGCTCCCATCCTCAGCACCACAGGAGGAAAGGAAGAGGACAGACATTAACTATTATACGCTGGTTCTCGAAGCATTTGCCTTTTCTCCACAAAGACGAAGCAGAAAGGGAGAGCTGAGGATGGGCGCATTTGACCCCGAATTCCCTCCCTTGCATGCGCCCTCGGGACTGGCCTGCCTTCCCCACCCCCTTACCTTTGGTGTGCCTCTCCACCCAGTCATTGATGATGAATCTGGCTCTCTCCACCTCTGAGAAGTCCACCTGCTTCACCGTGGTCCGGAAGAGCTTGAAGAAGTGGGGCATGAAGCCCTGGACCAGCTCCAGGTCCCGCTGGACGAAGATGGCGTCCGCGGTGGTGATCTCGTTCTTGTTCCAGGGCCCCATGAGCTCCTTGGACAGCCGACGGAGAGCGGGGGCCGTGCTCTTCTCTGCAGAGGTACCAGGACAGGGTCCGTTAGGCTCACGTTGAGCCCAGGGCTTTCATCCGGACCAGGTTTCCCAAGGAGGGCCTTGCCTCACCCAGATGGATGGGGTCCATGGAGGGAAGTCTCTTTCCAAACTGTAACTCTTTTTTCTTTCTCTCTTCTTCTTTCTCATCCTCCCTCCATTTCCTCCCTATTCTCTTTCTTTCTTTCTTTCTTTCTTTCTTTCTTTCTTTCTTTCTTTCTTTCTTTCTTTCTTTCTTTCTTTCTTTCTCTCTCTCTCTCTCTCTCTCTCTCTCTCTCTCTCTCTCTCTCTCTTTCTTTCTTTTTTTCCTTGTTCATTTTTTTGAGACCAGGTCTCACCCGGCACCTCTGGCCTTGAACTCACAGAGAACTGCCTGCCTCTGCCTCCTCCGGAGTCCGGGGACTAAAGGTGTGTGACACCATGCTGTCTCTGCTCCTTTGTTCTCCTCTCCCGAGCCCTCTCAGAGGGGGGGGGTCTCACACTGTAACCAGACTGTATAGACTGGTTTGCCCCTCGCTGTATGGTCCTAGATGTCTTGGAAGCTAACAGAAATCCCCCTGCCTTTGCCTCCTCTACACTGGGACTGTACTCATCTCTCAATGCAACCTTTTCGTGCATCCTTTCGCAAAAGGTCTCAACTCCTGTTTTCTTTTTCTTTACGTTAGCATATTCTTCTCAGCTCTTAAATTATAAGGATTAGCTTGCTTCCACCCACCCCACCTAAGGGCCTCGCCAGTGCTGGGATGACAGGCATGAGCCAGCCTGCTTGCTTGGCTCTTCTGTTTGGTTTTGTGACAAGATCTCGCTCTCTATCCCAGCCTGGACCGGAGCTTGCTACGTGTAGCCCAGGCTGGCCTCAAATTCATAATCCTCCTCCCTCGGCCTCCCAAGGGCTGGGACTACTGGGATGTACCACTGTACCTAGCTAGGCTGTTTGTATAATAATGGTGTTATTCAGTAATTTGTGTTCATAACCCTCTTACATATTTACTCAGCCCTGTGTGGTAGGCATTTTTTCAGTTGTCCCCCTCACTTTATAGATAATAAAACAGAGGTTTACAAGAGTTAAGGTCACAGGTTTTTTTTTTTTGTTTGTTTGTTTTTAAAGGTCTCGTGTAATCCAGGCTGTTGCTAAACTCAATACATAGCCAAGTATGGGCCTGAACTCCTGATCCTTCTGGCTCCACTTTCCAAGTAATGTGGTTACAGGTGGACACCACCACCTCCAGTTTGATTTGGTGTTGGGGATGGACCCTGGGGCTGTGTGCATGCTAGGTGAGCTACATCCCCAGGGCCAAGGGGATGTAAGCACACAGTTTGTATATTCTGTATCTACTGGCCGGTACACCACAGCCAAGTCAAGGCCGTCCGACCCAGAAGCTAGAGCGAAAATGGGTGGTCCCGGGGCTGCAGTTGGACATGACTGGACTTGGCCATGGTGGAGTCAGCCTCCTCTGCCTTCTCTGTTTGCTCTGGCCCCTAGTCTGAGAGAACCTCCTGACCCTCTTCACCTCCCACTCTCCCCCGTCTCTCACCATTGACTTTGAATCCCATAGCGTCTTGGATCTGCTGCTGGGTTTTCCCTGCTGTGGTCAGCTGCAGCATGGCCAGTACCGAGGACACCCCGTAGGGAGAGAAAACCACGTTCCGGTCCTTGGAGGCCTGGACCACATGCTTGAACACTTTGACCCCGAAGTCGGTGGCCTGATGGGCTGTGTGGGACTCTCGGGGATGTAAAGCAGATCCTCTCCCCAAGACCAGAGCCAGGCCCAGGGCGAGGCACGCTAGCGCTGAAGTTATCTGCATCCTAGGATAAATGGAAGAGAATCTGATAAGATGTTTCTGGAAGATTGCCCGGAGCGGGACATGGTGCCTCAGTCATGGACTAGGCTCTCTGTGTTTGTCTCTAGCCTGTAAGAGATCAGTCCGGTAAATTCACATTCATTAAGATCCCATAATGCAATTGGATGGTGAGCTCACCCCCTTCTGCCTCCAACCAGTTCTTTTCGTTTTTTTTCCAGACTGTGTCTTGTTATGTTACCCAGGCTGCTCTTGAACTCAGGGTCCTCCTGTTTCAATTCTCCCAGGTGCTGGGGTTATAGATATACATTACTGCCCATAGGGGCTGATTTCTACCTATGGGAATCTTAGAAAAACACCCCATGCATCTCTCTCTCCTCCTCTGTGGGCTGAGAGACCTTTGGACAATGACAATTATTCCAGTTGTAATAACTCCCTTATCACAGTTCCCCAAACTACTGCTCAAGTTAGCAGTATGAAAAAAAAAATATATTCTCTGGGGCCCGTAGAATGGCCCAGTGGGCAAAGGCACTTGCCACCAGGCATGACCAGAGTTCTATTCCTGGGACCTACATGGTAGAGAGAGAGTTGACTCCTGAAAGTTGTCCTCTGATTTCCACACTTGAACTGTGACACACGACTATGCACACACACACACACACACACACACACACACACACACACAAATGCAGTTTGTAAAGTTTTGGTTTGATTGTTTTGTTTTGGTTTTTTCGAGACAGGGTTTCTCTGTGTAGCTTTGCGCCTTTCCTGGAACTCACTTGGTAGCCCAGGCTGGCCTCGAACTCACAGAGATCCGCCTGGCTCTGCCTCCCGAGTGCTGGGATTAAAGGCGTGCGCCACCACCGCCCGGCTCTTGTTTTTTTTTTTTAACTAAAGTTTCTTTGCTAAATTAAGAAAGGGGGGAGGTTTGCTGGAGAGGGACTGAGAAACAGTGACTTTGCTTCTGGGATCCGGGGTTAGAAGTGGGATTGGACCATCTTTCTCGACCACCTGTGATCCTGGTTGGGCCAGGGTGGACTAAAGGCAGCAGAGTTCCAGAACAGAGTGGAAGGACACGGAGGGAGAATGCGGGTGATGGACAGAGACTTCTGGGGAGGGAAGTTCTCTTCCGTAACTAAGCCTTAGGTGAGGGAGCGAGCTTGCCCCTCTCCTACCTGGAGCTTTCAAAGGCGCCTTGTGATTGGCTCTTCGTCTTGCTTGTTGGCTGCTGCTCAGCTGCGGTTGGCTGTGTCCTGCGGGAGGCGGGTGTGCGGGGTTCCTCCTTCACGGTGCTCTCCGGCTCTGCAGCAGCCCGATGCAGCTGTGCTCTGTCTTGTGGCTTCAGGCTCCCTTTATACCAGATGTGGCAGGAAACAGATGAACTCATGCTCCAGCCCCACCCACTTTCCAACTCTGGAAATGTCTGGGCTGCCCGCCCGCCCTTCCCCTCCCCCGCCCCTCCCTCCCTCCCAAGGATTTGCTGGGACATGTGTGTGTGTACGTGTGTGAGAGGGCATGAGGGGTAATTGAGCCAACCCTGGGCGCCTTAACTGGAACATCCCTGTCTGTTTGCCTTCGGCTGGTCTGTCGTCTCGACCCCTGGTGGGACCACCGAGCTTAGGGTGCCTGGTGTTTGGGATTCCCTCGCCTGGTTCTCAGCTTGCAGCAACTCGAGTCGGCCCCTTTTCCTTTGAAGAAACCCATCACAGAGGAGCTATGACCTTGTAGTGCCTTACGCCCCGTGTGCACCCTGGGCCTACCTCCAGGAAGAGTCGGCCTGACCTTCCCTTGGGTTTCTGCCCAGTGGCCAGAGGGCATGAAATGTGCCCTGTGATTGTCTGGGTTCTGGTTCCTCTTGGACTTGAGCCCAACGGAGAACTTCAGGCCCTTTCTCTTCCCTCCATGTGCCTTCCAGGCCTGCCGTGAGGCCAGGCCGGCTCCCCACGTGGGGCCAGGCTCTCCTGGGTACCCTGAGGGCTCTCTCTCTCTGTCAATGGCCTCCTGTGGCTGGGCTTTGAGGTGTACTGGGTGGGGAGCTGGTGGCTGGATTGGACCAGGGTTTACCATGAATGGGAACAGGGGTTGGCACAGAAAGCTTTGTCAAGGGGCAATGTGGAAGTTTAGCTCCTTGGAGCAGCCTGAGACGACTGAGGGAAAAAGAGGTAGTGTTTTCTAAAGATTTTATTTTTATCATTTATTTGTTTATTTATCTATCGAGACAGAGTCTCATTATGTAGCCCTGGCCGGCCTGGAACTTAATCTGGAGCTCTGGCTGCCTCCCAGTTCACAGCGAATCAGTCTGCTTCTGCCTCCCGAGTACTGACATTAAAGATAGGTGCCACCACACCCGGCTTTATTCTTAAATTTTAATTATCTGTGTATGCGTGTGTCCATTTGTGGGTATGTGCATGTGAATGCTGGGAGGTGTCAGATTCCCTGGAACTGGAGTTAGATGCAGTTGTGTGCTGTTCATTGTGGGCGTTGGGAGTGGAACTTAGGGCCCCTCCAGGAACAGTATGTGCTCTTAAGGGCTGAGCCGTCTCTCCAGACCCCAGAGAATTCTTTGAAGCTTTCTTCTCTGGGTGTAGACATTGGTGGGCTGGAGCCACAGGACCAGGGATAGAAAGAAACAGAATATATATCGTAGTGGGGCTCTGTTCTTAAACCATTGGGGTCCTAGGGAGGAGGTATGACTGAGGAGTCTTTTTTTTTTTACAATCTCAGGCTCATGCAGCCCAGGTTAGCCTCAAATCCGTTGTATAGCTGAGGATAGCCTGGAGATTCTGATCCTCCTGCCTCCACCTCCCAATTTTTGAGACTACAGGTGTGCCTCACCACACCCAGTTTATGCAGTACTGGGGCTCGAACCCGGGACTTGTCACATGTTAGGTGAACTACCAACCGAACCACATTCCCAGCCTGACGGTTTCTTTAGCGAGTGGACGTTAGTGCAGCGCATAAGAGGAGCAGGCCGCTGCCTTTCGAGGTTGGACAGACTGAAGCACCCTTTGTAACCCTAGATACAGTGACCAGAGGGAAGGATGGCTAGGAAAGGCCAAGGCGGGCCCATGGTGGGAGCTGAGGAGAAGAGAAGGCACTCTCGGCCTTGGGGTTCACATGCTGTCATCTTTTGTATAGGCGATGGGGTTCACTTGGCGGTATCCATGGAGACAGCTGACTGGCGAGTCATAGGAGGTTTAAGTGGGTGGTGGAGCAGGGATGTTTGTTTTGGATTTTCAGTAAACCGATACCAGGGCAACCAGCCCAGCTGAGTTTTCTCACAGCGACCCTGCCTCCGAGTCAGGTGGGGGAGGGGAGGTGGAGGAAAGAGGGGAAACCTCAGTTGGAAACTTAGGCTCACAGGCCCAGGGGAGCGGCATCCTGGCCCATGTGCTGCTTGTTGGTGTTCTGTTTTGTTTCCCCCTTTTCCTCATCTGTGGCTTGGAAGCCCTGAGCGAGGCTGCTTGGCTGGGAGAGGCAGATGTCCTCGGCCGTCTCTGAGGAAGAAGACACACACACACACAGCCCAGACCCAGCCTCATCCCTTACCCCCAGATGCATCTCCAGATGCCATACCCCCATCCTTAGCGGTCAGAGGGACCTAGGGCCTGGGTGTCCCCAGGTTACAGAAGCGGGGTGGGTGGAGATGCAGCTGGAGGTGGGCCTCCTTGGGTACGCTAGCTGGGAAACTGAGGCACCCCCTCTTCCTCTCACTGTCATTCACAATTGTTTCTGGATCTTCCCCACCAAGACCGCCGTTTTCTGTGGCGGGCCTCACCTCTGCCAGGGTGCAAGCAGCTTCGCCCTGACTTGGGTTTGATCCTCCGTTCCAGGTCTCAGGGGAGCTGGATAATGGCTCTGTGTCCTTTCTGGGGGTGGGCAGGGATGGGGGACACCCTTTGCTTTGGAAATGGAAAGCTTTGGGTCTTTCTTTTTCTTTCCTCTCTTTTTCTTTGGTGGGGAAGACACTAAAGCCACGTGATCTAAGCCTGGGTGTTCTGGAACTCACTACATGTACCAGGCTGGCCTCAAACTCCCAGCAATCCTCCTGCCTCTGCCTCCTAGTGCTGGGATAATAGGTATGTCCAGCTTCCCCCGCCCCCCTTTGAGACAGACTCTCACTCACCATGTAGCCCAGGCTGGCACTGAATTCACAATCCTCTTGCCTTAGTATCCCAAGTTCTGGGATGACGGATGCGCCACCAGGGTCAGAATCCTGAAGGAACCTCTAAACTAGAGGGAACCTATGGGCATCTAGTGGGTGGGTTTTAGAAACTGAGTCAATGGGCCTATGAGATGGCTCACTGGGTAAAGGAGCTTGCTGCCAAGTATGACGACATGAGTTCAATCCTTGGGACGCACATGACGGGAGGAAAAAACGGACTCCCACAAGTTGTCCCCCACATGTACTCTGTATCACGTCCGTGTCCACACATGGACACAAGCATATATAAAAATAAACAACTGAATAAAAGATATATAAACTGAGGCACAGCCTAACGGAACGAGGACTCTGTTTCTTTATGAGTGAGGGCTGCCTAGATGGCCTGAAACCCAGACTTGACCATGGTGCCTGCATCTCCTCTACACCCCCCACGTCTGTCCTTGGACATGGGGAAGAGCTAGTTTTCCACACACAGGATGCAGCTTCCTGAGGGCTTCCTGGATGAGCAGAGGTGGGGGAGGGAGACGGGGTGTCTTACTCCCCAAGCCCTCTTTGGGACACCCTTCTCAGAATCTAACCTGAGTCACAGGCTTGTGTCACTTTCTCTTTTTCATCCCCGCTAGAACCCCCCAACCACGTCGACCTCATCATCCTCTTTACCTTTTGACCCTTTGTTAAGTGGGGGGAGGAGGAGAGGGATCGAATGAACGGAAAGAAAAAAGTCCTTGCTGTTGAAATAACTCAGCCCTTGATTTCCCCGGGATCAGAGATAAGAGCGTGTGTTACGTGGGGATTTCTGGGAAACTTCCAGGATCGACTACCCAGGAAGATGGCTCCATCTGGTTCCTCTGCAGGTGGTTTGCGACTGGAGCGAACTCATCCTTTCCATGACTTGTCCTCTACCCCAGCTCCCACCCCTGCACTCTGTCATAAAGAGCATCAGGCTCCACTGGGGCCTCGGGAGCCACGGTCCTCCCTGCTTTTAACATGTGTGTGTGCGCACGTGTGTGCATGTGTATATGTGTGTGTGTGTGTGTGTCCGTGCGCGCGCGTGTGTGCATGTGTGTGTGTGTGCATGCGCGCATGTGTGCATGTGTATATGTGTGTGTGTGTGTGCGTGCGCGCGCGTGTGTGCATGTGTGTGTGTGTGCATGCGCGCATGTGTGCACGTGTGTGCATGTGTGTGTGTGTGTGTGCATGCGCGCATGTGTGCACGTGCACACAGACTCAGTGTCAGTCAGCCTTGGTGGCAGGCGCCAGTATTTGCTGAGCTGTCTCTCGGGCGCCTCATGACCTCTTGCCCTCTCGTCCTCTCCTTGTGCCCTTCCTCTTTGCCTCTCTGGTTCTCCCCCTGAGCCGTCCCCACGTCCCCACGTCCCTCAAGATAAAGCTGCTCCCCGCTGGCTTCCTCTTTAGTTCCCCTCTCCCACGCTTGTCCTGTCTCCCTCAAAGGAGCCCGGGCTTCCAATCCTCTCTGCAGCAGCCTGACTCAATCCCTCTTTCCTTTTCTTTTGCCTCCTGGAATCCCTTTTACAGGCAATCTGGGGCCCTGCTCTTCCTCTGGGAAGGAGGTCCGGCTGCCTGCCAGTTACACAGGCTCCTTGGAATGCTGGGTCCGGCCCCCCATGCCTGGTGATTTCACTGGGAGAGCTGGGGGTGGCAGAAGACAAGATGCCCCCACTGACTCTAACTCACTGCACTATTTCTGGCCTGGTGGCTCTCCAAACAACACAGTTCTGAAAATAATCCATGTTTGGGCTGGGCCGTCCCTGCCCTTTCTAGGAGTGAGCTGGGTGGAGTGGTCAGAGCCTTGGCTTCTGTTCACTGGGAATCATGGCTCCAGGACAGCCCGTTCTGGCCTGTCTGGTGTCAGCCTGTCTGGGGGTTCCTGCCGTACCTGACTTTCTCCTCTCCTACCTTCGTAGACCTTAGTCTCTCTTTCCTTACCTAGCCCATGGCCAGCCATTGTCCTTCAAACTTTCAGATTAAATTCAGTCTTGCTCTGGGTCCCCACAATGTAGTTCATGCTTAAATGGTGTGTGTGTGTGTGTGTGTGTGTGTGTGTGTGTGTGTGTGTGTCACACTCTGGCTGCCAGACTTGTACACTTGTACAGTCTTTAGCTACTGAGCCATCTCACCAGCCTCTGACACACACACACACACACACACACACAC